GCAGCTATCAATGTGGCATTCAAACAAACACAAACACACCCAGAAGTAATGATAACAATTACAGTTTTATTCCAAACAGTACTTTCTGACATATATGTGGGATTTTCAGCATGTAGTACAATACACTGCTGCATTTAAATCTATCATAAAAGGGGTGATTATTAAATTAGACCATTCGCAACATTGATAGTAAAATTATATATGTCCAAACCAAGTTCACTTTTAACGGTTTGAAAAAATTTGGGCATTGCGTATATGATATTATATATGATATAGATAGTAAAACTTCGAAAACTCAAGTATCGAATTCGTGTGATTATAATTGATAGAATGATTATGAACAATAAATTTTTTTCGAAACGTCATCCAGCAAATAATACTGTTTTACTGTATGATGCATCTAATAAGCAATCTAATACAGAATTACTTACTACCAGAGTGCCCACGCTTTACACATATATTAATCCACACCTGGTTTTGTTATCTTCACCAGTTGGCCAATATGACAATGTAAAATGACCCCATGCTGAGGAATGATGATAAAGTTGCTATATATAAGCTGAGATTTTGTAAATCTGAGTTTAATAATACTTTGATGAAGCTATTAGCATTAAATAGCGAAACGTCAGTAAAAACAGTATCATTTTGTATTTTTCATTCATTGGGAAATACAAAAAACTTCTATTATAATGAATATCTAGGCTTTTCACTACAAAAGAATTGTCTAATTCCACATTTCACTTCTTAGATATGGTGCCAGACGGTAGAGGGGATGGCATATCAAAAAAGGCAAATTTATCGATAGCCAACATTCACACGGCAGTGTACTAACTTCATCGGTTGTGTACCTCTAGGTAGGAAGAGAAATCTTATGCTTTGTTTATGATCCAAAATTCATAAAATTTGCTCTGTAGATATGATCGACTTAGAATTAGAAAGCCTTTGTACAATACCCTTAAATAATCGATATCCTAGAAGGTTTACTGACGGAAAGGATCAAGAAAAAAACCGTACCCAGCCAAATCAGTGTCAGAGAAGACACTGTCTATGCGTTTGATGTTAGATGACAGTATATCTGAAGTAATTAAAAGTCATTTATCTAAATGTATTAAACGCTTTTTTATAGGTTTGACTTACATTTAGTATTTATCAGGTAAAATATGACTGGACAATGTGTCAGTGGATGGACTATAGCTTATGTCTGCCCCTGTGTGCATATAATTATTCACAAGCTCGTGTGTAGCTGATTACATTGGACATTGTAACCTGGTTCTCCGTAAGCGCGTAGCTGAGCACTACCATGCAGTTTGGTCAATGAAAGGTGAGCATAGGACGAAGAAGTCTTAAATTTGTGAATACCTTCTTGAGTCAGGTCATCCAGTCCCACATGATTTATTTTTCGAAGTTGTTTACAAGACCAAATCCAACCACTGTAAAAGCTTCATTTTCTCCTGTTATGCGTAGCCGAAGCTGCGACTATGTATGCATAGGAACCTAAATTATATGTTCAAAAGAGTTTTGTTAAACCCCTTTCTCTACCTTGGTCATAGTAATGTCCTTTTATTTTATTCTATTTTACCACTTGAATTTTTAAAATCTTAATACCAATTCACTTATTTAATAATCATTAAAAATTTTGTAATTCATCCACTTCAGCTCTACCTTCTTAATACATAATTTGTCAATGTAGTTGAAGATTGAACGATCAATTCATGGTTGTTTGCTCAAACCCAACTTCCCCATAACTTTCGCGCGTGATCAATCTGCCAGTCATCGTCTCATCGGTCGCTGTTCAGAAAGAACCTAAAAAACTGTCAGAAACCTTAGTTTATTATGCTGCTTATATGTTGGTGTTAGAATAAAGAATTCTCGAGTCACCAGTAGGTGTTCTGGTTTTTGAGTCCGTTAGTACTAAGCGTTTCTGAAAGGCTTCGAGGGATAGAGAGAGGCCCGGCGTAGCAACAGCTGGGCATTAACAGTTTTTGAGACGTGATTGAGATCATTTTAATTATCTTTATTCTTATCATATGTGCAAAATTGAATGAGTAATTGCTAATGCCACTTAATGCCTTCTGTTTCTGTAATATAAATACAACTGCTGTACAGCTTGAAAGTGAAGACATTGAAAAGAAATAGTTTTTCACCCCTAAACAAAATCTGTGTTTGTCCTTATGAATTAATAGGTATATTTCGCACTACCGAAACTTTCAAACTTCATTTATGCTACGAACAGTCGGTAGGAGAAATGAAGAGGGACCAAGGCCATCGCTCAAGTAGAATCCTAATGGTAAGTGGCCAGTGGGTCGTCCGAGGTTGACATGGAGGAGATTATGCGAGGAGATAAGAGATTGTGGACAGCCTTCAGGCTAGCTGAAGAGGACAGCACCAAATAGAACAAAGGGGAGATGTGGTGCTGTTTAGCTCCTATGTTCCACCCGGAACCCATGGAAATAACAATACTGTATGAGAATAACCTATGGTCGGTTACTCGACGTCATCTTCACTTAGGTGGTGAAAGTAGATAATTGAGACTTTGAGACCTATGTTGTTTGGAGGATTTCGTCGTGAGCTGACATCAGTTAGAGAACCAATGGAAAACCTGGGAGTACTGCACAGCTGTTCGCCCTAGTCCGGGACCAATCATCAGTACGCAACCACCGGGGCTAGAACCCAGGACCTTCTGGTAGCAAGGCGATCTCGTAGACCATTAAGCCACTGGGACCCAATCCAATGATCCTTGAATTCTAACTTCTGCCAACTCATGACGTAGGGCAACCACTTTGCATTGGGTTCGATGCCCGGTAGGTGCGTACTGATGAGGAGTCCCAAATTAGAACAAAACAGCTGTCCAGTTCTCTTTGGTTTTCAATGGTTCTGTAACTGATGTCAGCTCATGATGAAATCCTCCAACCAATCAGACAAAATCCCAACAAATACCAGTACTTGAAAAATTTGGGAACTTCAAACGTTAGTAGAAGTGCAAGATCTGTTCTTACTTAGAGTTGTTATAATTATACTTATATTTTTACCTGTTATTATTCAGAAGATGAAAATTCCAAAAATCTTCCAGTGTATTCTGTTTACCTTCTGCTTTCCATGCCATAAATATCTCATATCCGAATTAATTTCCATTCTTGTTCACTTTCCCTCTCCGTGAAACATCAGTCTATGCACTCTCTCTTCATCCTTTTTCTTTCTTTTCACATGACTTGCCTTGTTCGGATGAAATCAAATTCCTTATTCTGATAAACTTACTGTCTCGTTGCCAATTACTTCCTGAATTGACTGTTCCAAGTTGACTGAATAACCTTCTGTCCTACATTAGCCAGTGGTTTGAGCTTAATTTCCTTACGCTAAATCCCTCTAAACGTCTGACAGTTAATTTCACCTTCACAAATAAACGTGATCGTAACGAACTCATCAGTCAGTCACACGATGCTTGTAGCTTACAGGGCACTGATAGTGAAAACAAGTCAAGTATAAAATACCTTGGTATGGTTCTATCCTCTGAGATTTCTTGAATCCTATCATCCCACATCTTATCTATTTCTAGGAAAGTGCGTCTATATTAATAAGTTGTGACATTCTGGAATTACTTAACCCCCCATCTCCTACAGTTTGTAAACTCTTACATCTGACCTATTCTTCTTTATTGCTCCCTCCATCTTAGTCTCTCCCAGGCTACTCAAAAAGGATTATGTCATGTTCAGTAAAAGAAGTATTAAGTGGTCCGCTTTCAACTCCCAGCCGAATCTCTCTTGTTGTTGTCAAGTGAATAAGGTGCAATATCGTATAAAATTCTAAAAATTCCACAGTGTATCATAAGTACCGTTTTGGAATGAAGCGAATGGTTATTACTATTATTACTATTACTGGCATATGAGTAATAGCGTTATGTGGTGAAAATAGCAGGTTAACTCTGAATTCAAGTTAAGACAATTATCAGGGTTATTCTACAGTTTTTATAGAATACACTAAACAAAACTGTTACAGTTCCTCAGTGGGTTTATTGCCCACTTGGAACTATGCTGTGAAAATATTAGTATAATAATAATAGTAACAGCTTTTCATACATTTGGTTCCCTTGAGAAATTCTGATAGAGAAAGAAAGATCAGATTTGCAGTATAAAATGATATCATTCTATTTCACAAGTTCTCATCAGCTGCAAACTACCTCAACTTACAATGGTTATAAATAATAACATTTCATACTTCATTGTTTGAAAGGTAATAGAGAAGACAGTATATAAACTGATGGTGACTTAGATTATAATACTTATATTCTAGATGCGTTCACCTTATAATGTCTTCTCTATTACCTTTCAAACAATGAATTATGAAATGTTATTATTTATAACCATTGTAATTTCAGGTAGTTTGCAGTTAGCTGATGAGAACCTGTGAAATATTAACAGCTTTATTTTTAACAGTGTCTATGTAATGTACGGAATTTCCAGTGGACTTTATTACATGATGCCTCCTCTTCCTCTACTATCTTCAAGTATGAAAATATTAATCGACTGACAGTAGATCGTGTGACACAGTTGTTGGACTGAGGACACCACTGAGGAACGTTCATCTTGTGCATTGGGATAACTATACCACTCAGCTGGATAATGCTACTTCTCATGTTTAGTAGAAGAATGAGAATGAGCAGGTTGCAAATATTTTAAATACTCGTCAGAGTAAACAATACTATTATAATACTACACTACCATACCTTCATATTTTACCAGATTAAATCAAACGGAATGAGAGAAATTATAAGCAATATATTAATGGAGATTGCTTTTCCGGTAGTCAACGTTTTAAGCAGGCGATCGAAAAGGGGTTCATGTCAAATAGAATAATATTTTGACTTAACTAGGATTGGTTGTCTTTTACTTTCAAGCTGTTTTGTCGATTTGGCTGTTGATTCGAACTCACTTAAATTTAATTGGACAAAAATCTTGACAGTCGTCCCATCTCTCATATATATATATATATGAAAGATTGAACGCTCTTTAATTTACAATCGAACATACTTTATTTCAAGGTAAGCTTTTGACGTATGTAGTACACAGTGCAATGGTTAATTTAAAACGCTTAGTTGCTTTTATTTTATTATTGTTTTATTCCCTTGCACATCTCTCGGAACACAGGGCTTCCTGCTAGAGCTAGCTTAAAGTTTCGGTAGAAGTGATTTTATTTATTTTTACGGAGTGGGGGTTGCTAGCCTCACCTAGCACACCCTCCTTCTTTACCACCGGTCTTACTACCTGCTTAGCTAGATTTAACAGGGAGTTAGGCGGTGGCTGTGGATCGAACCCCAAACCACGTGAGGCGGGGTTAGAGAGCATTCTACCGCTGTACAGCCGACGCAGAATTTATTGAAATTAGTAAAACTCAATAGAATACTGCGTTATTAGCTGTCTTGGCGCAGCAAGATTATAGGTGTGAGTCGCATATGAAGGTATGAGACTTTGCCTTATGATATAAACTAACTGCTGTCGAATTTATTCAGCACACAGACAAATGGAAGTTGAGTGAGGAACAACTGAGCTGAGGATAGAAGATTGTTGATTAAATTTTCGAAGACATTAGTGATTGACTGAATTAATTTTGATTTAAAAGATGTCAGTTACTTCTAGGTACTAGAAGTGTCGATTAAAGCATCCCTATTCCTATTCATCCAACGAAATCAAAAATCTTGAATGGAATTAAGCTACTGAAAGCTAGCCGCGAAGGCAGTAAGGCCACATGGAAATTCCTTTGAAGCACTGAAAACGGACCAATAAACAGAAGCAAACACCTTGACGTCATTATTAAAAAATGTTTGGAGGGAAGGAAAGATGGCGGATGATTGGAAGGATGTTTACCTTGACAATATATCAAAGAAGGTCAACTTAGGACTCATTCTGAAAGAACTGGGGCAGAATCATACTCCTCTCTACGTCAAGTAAAATACTAACTCGCTTCATCCTGGATAAAATAAAATAAAAACTCCATCAGACTCACCAGAACATGCTGGATTCACGGAAGGCAAATCATGTACTGGTCAAATTGCAAATTTACTCATCGTCATCGAATTAAACAAACAGTCACAGTCACAGGCCTACCTAAACTTCATCGACTTCGAAAAGCGTTCGACTGTCTTGACGAAGTAGTAATTTGGAAACTGTTTGAGCACTAGGCAGTGCAGTGCCCCAAATATTTATTAACCTCATTCAACATCTGGCTGTGTGACAATGGCCCAGGTCGGGTGATCCACAAAGGAAATCCTAGTCAAGTATTCGAATTGAAGACAGGAAGGATTGAGTAAGACGAGGCGGTTGCCTACTATCACCAATAAGGACATTCCTAATTGTTGTGGACTACATTATGCGTCAAACTGTAAGTGGGAAGTGAGAAGAGAGGAGTATGTTGGGCCACCAATGAGGAGCTTCAAGAAGATCCTCATTTTGCGCGTCGATGAACTATGTCGTTTAATGTCACACAAACTCGGAGATTCACAACAAGGCGAAAAACAACAAACTGGCTAAAGACACCGGCAGGCAGCGAAGGCAGGACTCCAGGTAGACACAGAGAAGGCAGTGGTTATGAAAATAACCAACCAACCACGCAACAGCAAGAAAAGCAAGAACAACCATCACCAATTACCATCAACGGGAGAAATTCGATGAAAGAGCTTACTGCCTCCCTTCACTTATGTAACCAGTCAGCGTCGTCTCAAATACAAACAGCTGGTGACACGGATGAAGATGTCGAAGCCAGCCAGCCAGGATCGTCACCACTCCGAAGCCATTTTGGAAATCTCCTGCACTCAGCCTCAACATAAACAACAAGGTTCGAATTCTACTCAACACCAATGTTGTCAGTCACCCAGTCAGTCAGTTCTTCCATATAGGTCAGAAACCTGGCATATGCGTGTCACTAGAAGCATTTCTGACTGGCCCCTGAATACTTTTATTAACAGCTGCCCACTTCTGTGACTGACTCCATATTGAAAATAAAATGGCCGACTGTCCAGAAAGAATTGGCGACGACAATTATCGGAACGAATCAACCTAGAACTGATAGCTCAGCAAATATTCATAAGTAAATGGAGATGGACTGGACACATACAACTGGGGAGACTGTCGAACGACGTCATGCCCAGTACAGAGCCTCTCTCGAGTATAACCTGAATGGGGAAGGACGAGTTGGTCGTAGTTGTTCCGAGATTGGCATGGAGGAGATCGTGAGAGGAGGAGATGCGAGATTATAATCAGTCATGTGCCCAGCTGAAAAGGACATCATAAAACGGTAGAAGGTGTAGACGTGCTGTTGAAGCTGTATGTTCCACTTGGTGCCCAAGGGAACAGTTGATCGGTGTGCAGGAATTTAGGAATTAGTGTATTTCGAGTAGATGATATGAAGTCTCATCACTCATGTAACCGTAAGCATAATTCAAAATTCGGAAATAGTCTATTTTTCTGTTGGTATTCACTTTTTGAAAGCTACGCAGACATTTTATGCACATACTTCACCTTTCAGGGCTTACGCTCCCTTCACAGCGACATCATATATTGACACTAGTAAAATTAAGACACTCTGCACGGAATTATCACTCTATTTCAACTTCGCAACGAAAAAAGATTACAATAATTTGAAACAGAGTTTTCATTTCATTATGCGTGATTGTGACAATAACAACGGCAGAACTGCTGATGAAAGCAATACACAGACATCTGATGAATTGAGTAAGTTGAAGTAGTGAAAATATACGAATATGTCAAATTGATAGGCCGTAAAACAAGCTGTTTATTACGTTCAGTGATCATTTACTTTCGTTCCATGTCAACTGGTGAGGAATCTTTACGTCAGACATATTCACATGTTTTACAAGATATACTAAAGTGCATTATTAATAAGGTAAGTATTTGCTTGTATTCTCTTTTATTGAAAATTGAACAGTGTATTAAACAGAGAAAAAACGGAGCATTCTTTGTTTTAATTAATCCTAGTAACATTTTAATCAGTATTCATATGAACTGTGATCAAGACTTGACTGAATAGTCCCATAACAATTGGACTGCAAGTTAAAATGTAATTGTAAAATTTGTTTTTACAAGTTTGACCACAGATTGATGTCAGTTCAAGAAGCATTGAAAACCAGGGAGTACTGGACAGCTGTTTTATCCTAATTTGGGAATCATCGGCAGCATATATTTATTATTTATTGTATAATCTCAGTGAAACTAAAATCAATAATTCCAATGTTTCGTTAGACAAACTGATCCGAACTTCTTCAGAGAAGTTAATCAAAATTAAAATAACAAAGGCATACAAATGAATAAAGAAGGACACATCTTGTCTTCAAAAACCTTGTCGAGACATCCAAATACAATAAAGAAAATAGCATGAATAGTGATCAAAATTTGACCACAGACTTAAAATTATTAGTCTACGTTTGTTGCTAAACACTGTAAACAGTCTGTAATCTTTTCATCAGATTTTTAATGATTACGGGCGACTAAAGTTCGTGGCCGTAGATAACTGAATATATATATATATATTTATATATGAGTTACAATAGACTATAACAATCAGTTTCTTTTGCGTAGGTGTGTGTGTGTTAAAGTTTGACAGTGAGTTGAAATACTGAAGTGCTATAATATTAGTTAGTGTACAGGATAATGAGTTACCATAGATCCAGTTGACGAGTCCCAAATAGGACGAAATGCGCATCCTGGATTCCACTGCTAGCCAACATCCACCAGTTGTATACCATAGATTAGATTTATGATTGAATAACTAAATAGATAGAGGTCAACGTAAAGTTCAACAAGTGTAAAATAGATGATCGGAAAATAAAGTACATTTGCAAACTATATATGTCCAAACCAAGTTCCCTTTTAACAGTTTGAAAAAATTTATGCATTGGGTATATGATATCCATTATAATAAAGATTTTTTATATTTCCCAATGTGAATATGTGTGTTAAGGTTTGACAGTAAGTTTTCATCATTTTATATTCACATATTCACATTTCCGAATGTGAACTACCCTTGGACATTGTTTATGCTCTCTCACTCCTATACTTATCTGTCTGGAAGTTTCTCCTACATATATGGCAGTATCACAGTCCACACAATTGATCTGCTATACACAATTTTGTTGTTCGTCTTCTGTTTTATCATCCATAACCTTCACCATTGATGAGTGTCGGTTGCACGAAAATAAACTCTTATGTCGTGATTGTTAAGAATTCACTTTACTTCATCCGATGCCTCCTTTCGATAAAGAATGACCAGTACAGTACTAATGCAAGTCTTAACAACAGCTTTCGATTCACCCTTATCGTGACTCTACTAATATCTTTTCATAAAGGCTTTCAGGCAATTATTTGATTCATGAGTAGACTGAACCAATTTAAGTTCCCTGTTGCACTTCTCCTTTTCAGTTGCTAGAAGAAGTTTCGCCCCGTTAGTCAGATTCTTGACTACAGTTACTTTGGTGGTAAAGGGATGTGCTGAATTGTAGTCTAGGTATCTTTCCAAATGTGTCAGCATTCCGAAGATGTCTACACCATCTGGTTGTCTTTTTACCAAACGGTCCATAATAGCCAAATCATTTGCGTAGGTATCAACCTCTTTAGAAAACTTACTGGTTTTTGACATTATTGCTCATTAAACGAGAAAGTCCATTCAGTATACTGCCTCTGATTACGGCGAAAGCATCACCCAAATGCCTTAACCACATTCTCGGAGGATTAGGCTATCCCGTAACTAAATTTGTTTGTAATGAGTGTGTTAAGAGATTGAAGACTGCCGGAGATACTGGTGGTTCCATAGCAATGCTTTCTGTTCGATAGTAAACAGCCTTTATAAATCTAAATAACGTGGAGCGTAGACGTAGTTCCAGTACCTTTATAATTTCATCTGAACTTAAAGGATAGCGAACACTGAATTCGTTGTAAGAACGAAGTAAATTATAAATAACACTTAAAGAATCTTCATTGGTGAACTATTTATCAACCAACATCCAGTTTATTTGATCTCCCCCGTCACTTGTGTTTTGTTAATTTTTATGTTGGTGTATCCTGCTAGTTGATAAGAGAGTTTTTTATCATGTCGGGTAAAAATTTACACATCCTTTTTCCAATTTCCATATCAAAACCGACTGGAAAAGTACACTTTTGAAAAAAATTACCAAAATAACAAAACCCTTATAAATATGGCTGCTAGAGAAGAAGTGTACTTTAAAGGGGAGTTTTCTACTCAGCGCTATGTGACCTGATATTAACTCTCTTTTCCACTTTATCTTCTAGTTTTTAAATACACAAATAACACAGACCTTAATTTTTTTCTAGAAAATCAATGTTATACATTTTGAAACTAGACCTTCATTCGCTTCATTATCTGCATGTGATGAAGAGGCTCAGTATTCTTGTTTGGTTACCATGGAAACAAGCAAAGAAGAAGATCTAGATTCTCTCTACAGCGAATTACGCAGTTTTCGTTTTATTTCTACAATAAATATAATGAGTAGTGGACAGAACCCTCAAGGTCAGTGTTTGATAAAAACATTCTTCTTGACTCTGATATTTTTGTTATCTTTACTCTTATTACTATTGGTATCAATCAGTATTTTTTTGATGTGGTTTTGTTCTCTGAGCTGGATAGTTAGTTTGAGCAAACTAACTATCCAGCTCAGAGAACAAAACCACATCAAAATTATCCACCTGAGCTACAAATCTTCTCTATCGTATCAATCAGTAGTTGGACGAATATCTCATAGAATTTTCTAAAACAATTACAACGGATTTATGTTAGTAAAAAGTTTGGGCATTGTGGAATAGACCACCAGATAAATTATAATCATATTTCAACAGTTTACGTACACAATAATAAGTTCTTTTCATCATAGATCAAAATTTTATTTTGATAAAGTTTCACAGTGTTATACAGCAATGTTATTTACTGATGACCACTTTTCGAACACGGTTTATTACTGTTCATAATCATGTCAAGGTACTCTGACACAACTTTCTTGCTTCCTTTATATACACGATTAAAAACTGCTTAGACATTCGTGTAAAATTAATATTAAACTTGCATGAAACAGAAAGGAAGATAAAGTACCTTCAGAACGAATATTTGTGTTATCAGGAAATATAATATGATGAGAATTAAGACCATAAAATACTTTCGAAAAGTTTTCTGAGTACCTTGGTATGATTATGAGCAGTAAATTGTCCTCGTAACGTCACCAATAGTTACTGATTTAAAAGACTGTGTGCCTCTATCGAGCAAAATTTTATCCATAATGGAATTATACTCTACCACAGTGTCTAAGTTTTATCCTTATTACAATCAATCCCTTTCGGTTCTGGTAATATTTCGAGTAAAATTACTGCCCATCGTCATATCCACTTTTGGAACTCCCCTTTCTTTTACTGTTGGAATTGACTTAGCTTTTACTGATTCCCACAATTATGATTTGTAGTCACATACATACAAAGCTCGTTTTTTGTTCCTTCATTTTTGCATGTATCCAGAATTATAATATGCCAGGTTGTTGACAATTGTGCTGCCGAGTCCCCTTGATACATCTATCCAGCGTCAACATAATAAGTGACGGATGGCAGCATAAAAATGACGATATACATTGAAAAAATTCACATTCTGGGAGATTCCTTGACTATTATCACTCAGGTCGTATCCACTCACTGTAAAACGAGGGTTAAAATACAAGGTCTTGCAGAAAAAATACGCACACTTACAACGACACCCGATGTCCAACGAAAATAAGCAAGTATCTTATTCAAGATGTTACCAGATAACAAAATGAAAAAGGAGCATGAGAACAGGGAATGACAAGAAGAAGGATTTACAAACAAAAAATAGTCACAATGCTTTACAAAAATGGTACATCAGAGGCAATTTGTCCCACGTTTTGAACCAACTAATCTAATTGGAAATCATATTCCATAATTGAAAATCATATAAATCAACTATAAGATCCAGTAAAAAGAATGGATGAAATTAGTGATGTAATCTTTTGCTGTACATCCTACTAAATGTATGAGTCAGATGTCTAGATCATCACTCAAAATATGAGACAAGGAATTACATAAACGTCTAAATAAAGGTCATCATCCCACAGGAACCCAAGCTTACCGTAATTTAGAAAAAATTCATCTAGCTGCACATGCATGGGACAAAACACCATGACAATGATTAGGAGAACATTTATATTCTAAAATCTAATATGAACAAATTAGAAAGGAGACTGATAACAGAATCTATAGCCATTAAGGTCAGGTCGGATACCTGTGACAAGGGTGATTCGGCAGTACAACAGTCGATAACCTGTAATATTATAATTCTGGATACACACAAAAATGAAGGGACAAAAAACGAACTGTATCTGTGTGGCTATAATTATTCCCTTGGGTTCCTACTGGAATATGAAGCTTGAAAAACACATCTCTACTTTCTTCTGTTTTCTACCATCCTCTTCGGCTGCGTCCACGATTGCACAAACCCTCTCATCTCTTCCTCACATGATCTCCTCCATGTCACCCTAGGACGACCCACTCGTCGCTTCTCATTTGGATTCCGGTCGAGCAATGGCGTGGCGTGTTATGTCATTCGACAGCCTCCCCACTAAATGCCCGATCCGTCTCCATCTTCTTCTATATGTTTTGTTGAATTTCACATTGTATGATCTGTATTATTTGGGAATAAAGCAAATCATCATTATTATTATTAAAAAATTACGGCATAAGCGCAATTCTTAGCCAGAACTATCAGCAGCGTTTGACGGAAATTATTCGACTGTGCCATGCTGCTGTTAGGTTTGTGGCGCCTATCATATTCGCAATTCCTATCAATCTATATGATCAGACAGTGTGATTGACTGACAGCTTTCGGCACCACAGAACTTTGCACAAATTTGCAGAGGTTCAACCTACCACTTTTTCTGTAGCACACAAAGGAAGATAAGAGAGCATAGAGAAGTTCAGAATAGAGAAAAACAAAAAACAAAAGTGTAAGGGAAAAAGAGTAGTAATATGGTGGGAGAACAATAGAGTTTCATTGGATATGATGAAAGATCACGAAGAGTAAATGCGCCTGCGCCATTATTGAAAACGAGGATTTTCAGCGAGCCATATCATCAATTGTCTCCAGACTTCATAAGTTCTTACCATCATCCCGAGGATCCCAACCAGCCTGTCAGAAAGCCAGCCTGCATCTCTCTACATAGCTGGGTGGCAGGCTTAAACTAATTAACTGTTGTTATGAATCTCACTAGCCGACTGATAGAGCCAGCCATGTTTCCCGTTGACCACCACCATGTGCTAGCCAGATAGCTCGTTTTCAACCTCATCCATCCATCCTATGTAGGATAATCTAACGCTTCCCACCAGTTGAGGAAGGTGATCGACGCATGAATGGATGGTTACGGACTCGCGTATGCGTAACACATGTCCTAACCAACTCACTCAATCCATATAACTAACTGCTTCACAACCTCGTCAATAGATTGATTTTTCCTTCTCCTCCCCCTGCTGCTTACCTAATACTCACTCCACTGATCTCTCACCAACTCAATATTACTCATCCAATTGCACCTACCACTCAACATAACACGGAAAGTAGATAGAACGCAGACGCCCGTGAATGATGAAGGACAGCTAGCTGGCCGGTCATTTCATGTCTTCCATTCTCATCCATGTCTGGGATGTCTCACTCAGAGCCAACCAACAAGCAACCCAGACAGCCGTAAAGGAGGGCGGAGGTAACCGCTGCTGCTGCTGCTATTGCTGAGCAGTACACACGCATATACTCTGATCGACAGCCAGTGAGCCAGCCAACCAGCCAGTCGGACATCAAGTCTAATAAGCTACAAGAGATGGTGTAGATTGGTTGGCTTCCCAAATAAGTGAAGTGGTGGTCATTACTCTTAGTCACCATTTCACTCCCTCCTTATCGTTAAACTAGCTAGGACTGAGTCGATGTAGTTCAGAATTCCATTAACCTCATCATCTTACATTTGACAATTGGAGCGAATGGCATGTCGACCATTCGAAGACTGCTGATCTTCAAGATGTGTTCAGAGTCCTCTCCTCTATTTTGTCAACATCTTCACCCAGGAGGAAGAACTATGTAGTATTCGCATATTTTAAGCCGATGAGACTATTAATCCCTGGTAACAAGTGAATTCCTGAGTAGATGAAGTCATCGGTTAGAGTAAGGTTTATTAGTATATCTTTGATGAAATTCAACAGAAATGGGGACTGTGGATAAGGCATCCCTGACGGACACCGCTGGCTGTCATCACAGTTGTCAGATGACAATTATCTACAGTCTCTTACCTGACTGGCTGCATGAGTTCCAGTAGAGTGTGTGACTTGATCAGTGCGCGGTGTATTTTCTAGGCATTCTTTTCACAGCTAAACATTACCTAGTAGTACCTCTTTGTCATTGTGACTGTACTATCTCCTAAATTTCAATAAAGATAAAAAGTCAGCTTGAATTTTTCCAAAACAATCAAAAAATCATATTTATACATTATTCAAAATTAATTTGATGAATTAATTAATTTTATTAGCAGTCTGGTATCCGAAACATATTTCTGATCTGGACAACTGTCAGCACCTACTACTGAAATTTGAACCAGAATTACAAACAGATCATCCTGTAAGTCATTAGTGCTTGCTTTTACCCCAACCCCAATCCTTTTCAATATTTTCTGAATTAAAAAAATGAATATGTTATTGTACAACTTAGATGTCTAGAGAAGTGTGACAATACTGCAACCAATATTAAATGAAAGGCTGTTTTTAGAGGCTTTTGTCTGTACAAATATTTTCTGAACACAGAGAATGGGTTGAAAATGTTTTGTTTTATGGCAACTGCTTCAGCCATCTGTGCTTAGAAACCGAAGAAGTACCAACCTACCTAGGTAGTTGAGGTGGCACCTTGTACAGATCACCTTGCTAAAGCCGAATTTTCTTCAGTCTTGTGCTCCGTATCCACCACGAAGTGTGACAATAGGTGGCACTTCTGACTGACTTTGCGACTCCATTACCTAACTCACCACGTTGGACAATGCTCATTCAAGAAGGTGACAGTCTGTCTGCTTGTTAATTGAGTCGTTCTACCCACCTATGATGTGACTGTTTCCACATGAACAGTTAAATTTATAAATCCACATTAATGAGATGGGCAGGCTTGATAGCTTACTCCTCCCCTACGCGTTGGAATGATACACCGAAGGAGTGGTGAATTTGAAACACAATTTTGCAGCAGCGAAGAATATCTCAGCTATTATTTTCTGAGGTTTTGATGCCAGTACTTTAGTTGCTGCGTCTCCTTTAAACGGTGAAGTCATGCATATATGTGTTTCTTCTGCACTATTTACTGGCATTTCTCACTGTCTATTTGTTTTCCCCATTGGAGACTTCAACGAATTTTTCGGCGTATCCCTTCTCAAATAATAAGTTTTTAAAATTCATTATTACATCACCTGGACCATCGTCAGATGGGCAGATTTTTCTAGCACGAAACATCATGGTACTGACTGATAAGACTTTGTTTGTATGCAACAGGAACAAACGACTTGAAACGGGCGTATTGGCCAACCCATGACATCTTCAGGAAAATAAGTCGTTTGTTACTTCCATTTTGCCTACTTGTTAGCAGGGCATCAAGAAATGACAAGGTGTTTTTTTCTCTGTTTCATATGTGAAATCAGTTTATGGGTGAGCCACATTGAACGTTTTGAAAAGGACCTCACTACTGAGTTTATTGTTATATCTACAATAAAATGACAGTTCGCTGACCATATTTCTCAGTGGATGATTATCTAGCTTTCCTAAAAAAATATCACCTAAGAGAGGACCTGGAGAGGAGCCCATTGCTACGCCTTCCTCTTGACGGTAACATTCGTTGTTAAACTGAAACTTCACATTCATAGTACAACGCAGTAGCAGTTCCCCTAGTGTCTGAGGTGATATACCTTCTTCCATATCATTTTTGATAAGACATTCACAGATAAAGTGGATGGTGGTCTCTAGTAAATAGACGTTAGTGAACAGGGAAGTGACATCCATAGAGATGACTGTTTCGTCGCTGACCTTCTTACCTCTTACTTTTTCTACAGATTCAAAAGTCCCCTTCAAGCTATATATTTATCACCTTTTAGCTGATAAGGTTTAGGAATGTCTGCTAGCGATCTTGCTCTTTCGTTACATGATGAATTAAACATGTCTAGTATTCGTCTCAATGGGGCACTCGGTTTATAAATTTTAGGCAGCCTATACATTCTAGGTATATTTGATCTAGGTATGTTTGTTACTAATGTAAGAACTAAAGAGTTTCAGTCAAGACTAAAAGTCTTGAATGATATTATCATGTTTGGATGTATATTTCTGAGTAGTACTATCTACAAATTTGATATCATTAGGTGCATAGATCCGTTTCAGTGTCACAGGAACTGTCATAATGCTATCTCAAAAATAAGTAGTGTGGAACTGTGTTTCAATGCACGACAATTTAGGGAATAAAGGGTATTTACTAAAAGCTGTTGAAAGCGTAGTTCTTGTGCAAGGAAACATTCATCCAACACGTTCATGATAGACAAGCTGTCGCACACATTGGGCTACTTCAACATGCATACACCAGTTGTTTTCCTTATATGAAACCGAGTAAATTGGCCGTACCGTGTGTCCACTTGTAAAACCCTCTCGGGGACACTATGTAGCCTAGTTGGCTATCGAAGAGAGTATACAAGGGTGTATATAGTTCATTAACAGAACAGAACATGTGATGAAAAATTCTTCAAAGTCATATAATAGATCAGATCAATTCTCTCTTGCAAAGGGAGGGAGTGACATCAATGCATCTGGCTGGGAAAAGCTAAAGGAGCCAATATCGATCCATTAGTATTCAAAATGAATACGTCCATCCAACCGTTGTCCCTATCATAGCCATCATAAGTAGTCAGTCCGTTCACAGTGATGATTAGCCTCTTGCCTTTCTTATCCAATCTTCCTGTTTATTTCTGTTATTTTTGCGTTAATTTTTTAATTCCTATCTGCACTATTTTTCCTTTTCATCCTAACTTCCTGCCTAATTTGTTATTAGTGCGTCTTAACACCCTAACTGCACAAAAAGTCGAGATTTTCAGTAACTATGATCCTAATACGTTTTTCCTACCCGATCTTCTTGTCTGTTACACTTTTAAATTTTATTAACTAGACCTTTCCCCGGGAGTAGCTCTGGAAATTTCTCACCCATATACTATAAGCAAGTGTACAACCTAATTGCTGACTTCCTCAAAAAGAAAATTTTCTTCGCTGCAGCAGTCTTTTTAATAATTCTTAAGGTCCAATGTATATAGTACGTAACTTTTAAGATTTGAACTTATTTACTTATTTATTGAACTGTCTACCTATGCACATACTACAACCTTTGTTATTCTTATCGCCACATGCATAAACCTCATTATTATCATTATTCTTTGCCATCATTATTATCGTCGTTACCTCCGAAGTTCACAACACTCAAAACTTATTATCATTATTATCATAATTTGATCCACAAACTTTTTGATGTGGTTTTGTTCTCTGAGCTGGATGGTTAGTTTGTGAAGCTTTCATCACCTTACTGGGTGATATCTTCAGCGGATACTTCTGTTTGAAGTATGCGCTGAAGATGTCACCCAGTAAGGTGATGAAAGCTTCACAAACTAACCATCCAGCTCAGAGAACAAAACCACATCAAAATCATCCACCTGAGCTACAAATCTTCTCTATCATATCTAGATCCACAAACTCGCCGTCATTGTTAAAATTTTATTTGATATATAAGGCTTTGGAAATTAGAGTAAGATTTTTTGATTTGATTTTTTTGATTTTTGATTTACAGCTTAATTCCACACTGTATTTTTGGTACAAGTATGGAATTTTCAGCATGGATATCAGTAGCCCAAATTTTTGCAGGCCGATCATTGATATCAGGTGTGCGTCGGGAGAGGATCGAACCTCGGACCATGTGCATGGTTGGCGAGAGTCCTAGCCACTGCGCCACCGACGCAGGAAGATAGAATTATAACAACAGTATAGATCGCTTATATGTCATCATGTTCTAATATTAACAATGGGAATATTTAAAGATATATCCGTGATATATGTTTGTCATTCCATGTAATATGCACTCATTGGTTGAAAATCTCACTTCTTTAATTTTAGGGTTTTCATGATCCGGTCTATAAGCAAAGAAGAAAGCAGATCGCTGAAATAGCGTTTAATTACAAATAGTAGGTTAGCCTGCCTTTTTCAGTTTTATTTTGAACAGCCAATGTGCATTATTCAGTGATTTGTAAAATTAAACTATCGCTAAGAAATAATGGAGCAGAAATAGCCGTTCAACAACTCACTGTCACAATTAGCTATAAATCACTGCTATTCAGAATTGTATCTGTGGTCTGCTTGAAACATGAACTACTGAAAAAAACACTCCATCAGTACATATGTTGCAAATGATTTCTCCCATTCACTTTGTTTCAATCTAGTAAAGTATGAACTCTAATAGTGTTCTTTACTTTGGTGGGTATTTTAAACTGCTGATTCCCATCCTTCTACTAAACATGAGAAGAAGCATTATCCAATTGGGTGGCATGATTATCCCAATACATGAGATGACTGTTCCTCAGAGGTGTCCTTGGTCCAACAAAAGGTGTTCCTGAACTCTTCATAACTGACATTCAACAGGATGTCGTCGTGTATTTCTTGAAGAAGATAGGAAGAGGTATAAAAATGATTGATTGGTTTTCGCTTCAAGTGAGAGAGATAGAACTGTGTCACACAGTCTACTGTTGGTCAATTATTATTTTTATATTAGGAGGTTGTGGACGAAGAGAAAATATCTTGCTGCAAATTCTGTAGATCATATAAACATTGTTCGGAATGAAGCTGTTATTACTATTATTATTTGAACAGTGAAAAGGTCAGTTATAAAAAGCTCGTCTGATCAGGAAAGAAAGGGGCTTTTCCATACTTATCTTATTTTATTTATTTTTGATTACAGCTTGATTCCACACTGGAATTTTCAGCATGGATATCGGTAGCCCAAATTTTGCAGGCCGACCATAGATATCGACCCTGCACCACATAGTTTATAACTTACATACTACTAGGAACAGTAGAATTTAGGCTTACATAATTCATTTCAATTCGCTGAACATTGTAGGACCAGTTTAATCTCGATCAAATTAACAAAAGGTGCTGACACAATGTAAACTCATTCAGCATTCCACTGGTTCACAGTATGGAGAGTGAATGTAGACAAGACAGGGGTGATAAAGATAACCAACCAATCAACCAACCACTCAGCAGTAAGAACAACAACCAGCACCAATCACCATCAACTGGGGGAGTTTGATGCAACAGTTTACTCACTCCATTCACTTAACTAAGCAGTCAGTATCGATTCAACTACAGACAGGTGGTGGTACGGATGAAGTTGTCGAAGCCAGCCAGTCAGGGTGGGGAGGGCAAGACAGACCTTCATCACTAGTCTGAAATCAGTCTGGAAATCTCCCCACTCATCCTCAACATAAACAACAACATTCGGGTTGTACTCAACACAGATATTAGGTCAGTCAGCCAGTCAGTTAGTTCTATATGGGTCATAAACTTGGTGTGCGCGAGTCATGAAAAGCATTTCTAACAGCCAGGTGCAAACTTTTATCAACAACTGCTGACTTATCTGACACGATACTAATAATTAAATGGCCAAATGATCAGAAAAAATTAGCAAACCGACCAATAAGTGATTGCTTAATAAATACGTAGGGGAAAGTGGGGGATAGATTGGGCGCATGCCACTGAGGAGACCGTAGAATTGCATCGCGCTCAGTGTAGGCCATTGCTAGAATGAAACCTAAGTGGCAAACAACGAGAGGAGCGTAGTTGGTATGAGGGTGTCATGGGGGAGATTGTGTGAGTTGGAGGAGATCAGAGACTATGGCCAATCTTTTAGACCATACAGCTAAAGAGGAGCGCAGAAAATAGAACAAAGTGGAAACATGCGGCTGAATGCTTATATTTCCACTCGAAACTGACAGGAACAATAAATAAAGCAATAATAATATAGGATTTAACATATACAATTTTGCAGTAGTAACACTTTTGGTAAAGCCAACTTTAGGCTTTTTCGCTAATCAAAACCTCACTTGCCTGGTAAACTCTACGGCTGACAGAATGCAGTCTTTTTTGTTTTTGAAAATCTGTCATAAAGAAAAGTGTTAGTACTGTGTGTGTGTCGGTGGCACATTGGTTAGGACTCTCGCCAACCATGAACATGGTCCGAGGTTCGATCCCCTGCCGACCCACACCTAATATCTATGGTTGGCCTGCAGAATTTGGGCTAGCGATATCCATGCTGAAAATTCCATACTTGTACCGAAAATACGGTGTGGAATCAAGCTGTAAATCAAAAATTAAAAATTACTGGTTTGCAGGGATTTCACTGGTTGCAGGATTTCATCATAATAAGCTGACATTGGTCGCAGAATACCAATGGAAAACCACCAGAGAGTACTGTTTGACAGCTGTTTCATCTGCCTTGTTTGACACTCCGCTTCTGCATTATGCACCTACCCACCTCTAGGGCTCGAACCTAGGACCACCTTTCGGTTATACAAGGCGAGCTAACTCGTAGACCATTCATCAGCTACTGGTACCCGATTCAACGGTGAGCCCATCAATTCCAACTCCTCTCAGTGCAACAAGACCACTAGTTGAAGTATTTTTACCCTGTTCTTTATTATAAGGAAATAAATAGTAGGATTCAAAGAAACAGTTTTGCTTCAGCTACGAAACTTCACTACATCTATCGGCAAGCCCTTATACAGCAGAAAAGTAACTGTAACCACAAAATTTATGCTGTAATGGTCTGATAGCAAGAAACTTGATCTCCATCTCCCACAAAACTTCTCTCGGACACGCGCACCATCACCAAAACTTCCCAAACACAGGGAAAGACAATTATTCTACTTCTCCTATATTTCAGCGCTTCTATTAAACAACAACAACAACAGTTTATTGCATGATGTTTTCTCTTCATCTGCGACCTTCAAATATTAAACTATCGATTGACTGACAGTAGATCGTATGACACACTTCAATCTCCACTACCTGAAACAAAAACCAATCCATCATTATTATATCACTTCTCTGCCTTCGAGAAATACACGACATTTGGTTGATAAAAGCCAGTTATAAAGAGATCAGGAGTACATTTTGTCGAACTGAGGACACCATTGAGGAACGGTCATCTCATGTATAAGGATAATCATGACATCCACCGAGGGTAATGCTGTTTCTCGTATTTAGTAGAAACATCAGAATCATCAGGTTGTAAACATGTTAAATACCAGCCAGAGTAAATAACACTATTAGGGTTCATACCTTACTAGATTGAAGCAAAGTGAATAGGGGAAATTATATGCAACATTGATGTAGAGTTCCCTACGATAGCCTGGCGAGTGCTACCACTCAAAATTCTCCTCAGCGTGCGGCCGATCCATCATCATTTACTTCTTCATACTTACTGGGCATTAGGTTCATAGCTTCACTCAACTAGTTTTATTACGTAGCCATAAGTCCCACAGATGCAACTTTCACCTTCAGTGGTAACTTTAGAGTAGATAAGAAAACAAGAAATTCTTGATATTCGTTTATGAATAGACGTTACAAATGCGAGCAACATTTTCTAAAATGAATTAATTAGTGAACTGATTGTTTCATATACTTGTAATTTTATTTTAGCGGTGACCTCATACCTGAAGTACAATATACTCAAGAAGAAATAGAAACTTGGTAAGTTTCTTGCTTACTTTCTCGAAAAAATATTTCCTAATCTATTGACAGATGTTCAGGGTGAGTTCCACTTTACCCAAACTAACACAAGTATGATTCATAATATGTTAATCAGTCATGTTTACCACAGTTTTGAAATATCATTACTGAAGTCATCAGTGGTAAGTTACTTAGTTATCTTATAAAGCCGGATTAGATATGATGGAGAAGCTTGTAGCTCAGGTGGATGATTTTGACGCAGTTGTGCTCTCTCTCTCTCGCCAGATACTAGCTTGCTAGGCTACTAGCTTACTAGTTTTCTCGCCGGTCCCAAGCCCGGGTAAAGAGGGAGGGTTGGGGCGTGGTGCTAGCAACTCCACCCCTGTAAAACAACCAAATCGCTACAGAAACTTCAACGAATAAATATATTAAAAATTCTAAAAACATAAGCAATAGCCTTACTTTTCGCTGGAATCGGGGAAGTGAAATGACGCAGGCTGGTGAAAGCCTTCGGGAAGCCAGTCAGCCGATGTGCCTTCTTTCGATGAAAGCAAAAGTAAGGATGGGTACCTGGAATGTTCGCACAATGTACGAAACTGGAAAGGCTGCCCAGATAGCCGCTGAAATGAGAAGGTACAGAATAGAAGTGTTGGGAATCTGCGAGAGCAGATGGAACGGAACTGGAAGGTGCCAACTACCTACTGGAGAGACAGTAATCTTTCCGGCCACCCAGAGGACAACCATGAGCACACCGAGGGAGTGGCCATCATGATGTCACCAACAGCAGCCAAAGCTCTCATGCAGTGGGAACCAATCTCCTCCAGGATAATGACAGCCAGGTTCAACTCAAAAGGAAGGAAAGTTACAGTCATTCAATGCTATGCGCCTACAAACGTCTCAGAACAAGAGAAGAAGGAGGCGTTCTACAGACAACTACAAGCAATAATGGACAACGTCCCAAATGGCGATATCAAAATCCTGATGGGCGACATGAATGCGAAGCTGGGAGGAGACAACACAGGAAGAGAACTCACCATGGGTCGTGAGGCCCTCGGTGAAATGAACGACAATGGTGAACTCTTCTCAGACTTCTGCGCCTTCAATGATTTGGTGATTGGTGGTAGTGTGTTCAAACACAAGGATATACACAAGACGACATGGATTTCACCAGATGGAAACACCAAAAACCAAATAGACTTCATCTCAATTTCAAGAAAGTGGAGACGGAGCCTACTGGACACAAGGTCAAGGAGAGGAGCAGATGTGGGTTCAGACCACTATCTAGTAGAAGGGACTTTCAAGGTGAAACTAAAAGCCTCGAGGATAGCTGGGGATAGGCCACAATGCAAGTTCAACACTCAATTACTGAAGGACACAACCACAAAAGACACTTTCACTGCAACTGTCAGAGCAAAGCAGGAAACACTACGCGACATCACTGAAGAATCATGCGTGGAAGAACATTGGAAGTCTCTGAAGGCGATTCTCAACGAAACGTGTTCAACGGTTCTAGGAAGAAAGAAGAGACAAGACAAGGAATGGCTCTCAACGGACACTTGGAAATTAATAGAAGAGAGGAGAATGGTGAAAGAGAAAATGATTCAATGCAAGGACGGACAGGAGAAAGAGACGATGAGCTCAACTTACAAAGCACTGGACAAAGAAGTGAAGAAGAGTGCTAGGAAGGACAAAAGACGATTCTACGACAACCTGGCCACTGAAGCTGAGAAGGCAGCAGGCAAAAGGGACCTGAGGACACTATATCAGATAACCAAATCTCTATCCGGGAAGAGATCAACACAAGCGAAACCTATAAAAGACAGCCAAGGGAACCCAATTACCAAGGAAGAAAAACAGATTAAACAATGGGCGGATCACTTCAAAGGACTCTTGAACCGACCATCACCTGCAACCCGTCCAGAAATACCAACAACAGCGCGCACACAACTGCAAGTTGACACCAATCCTCCAACGAGAGCTGAAGTCTTGAATGCAATCAAACTTCTGAAAGCTGGAAAAACAGCCGGACCAGATGGAATACCCCCTGAAGCACTGAAAGCGGACCCAGAGACGACAGCAGACATGCTGACTCCATTATTGCAAAAGGTCTGGAAGGAGGGAAAGGTGCCTACTGACTGGAGGAAAGGTTACCTCGTGAAACTACCAAAGAAGGGCGACTTACACCACTCTGCAAGAACTGGCGAGGAATCATGCTCCTGTCGACGCCAAGTAAAATCCTGAGTCGCATCATCCTGGAGAGATTAAAGGACGCACTGGAGACAGAACTCCGACCAGAACAAGCTGGATTCAGGAAAGGCAAATCATGTACTGACCAAATTGCAACTCTACGCATCATCATCACAGAACAAAGCATGGAATGGCAATCAAACCTCTACCTCAACTTTATAGACTTTGAGAAGGCCTTCGACAGCGTTGACCGTGAAGTAATTTGGAAATTACTCGAGTACTACGGCGTACCCCAAATATTCATCAACCTTATTCAACAGCTGTACGACAACGGCACATGTCAAGTGATCCACAACGGAAAACTCAGCGAGGCGTTTGGAGTAAACACAGGAGTCAGACAAGGGTGCTTATTATCACCAATGATATTCCTAATTGTGGTGGACTGACTGGATTATGCGTCAGACAGTGAGTGGGAAACGAGAAGACAGGAATATCCTGGACCGACGTGAAGAACCTAGAAGACCTGGATTTCGCGCGTGGATGATTTATGTTTGATGTCACACACAATCGAAGACTTACAAGCGAAAACCGACAAACTGGTCGAAGAAGCAGCCGCGAAGACAGGACTCCAGGTGAACATAGACAAGACGGAGGTTATGAAAATAACCAAACAACAACAGCAACATCCAGCGTCAATCACCATCAACGGGAGGGATTTGAAAGAGGTTACTTCATTCATTCACTTATCTAGGGAGCATTGTCTCAACTACAGGAGGAGAACGGACGAGGATGTCAAATCGAGCGAGAATCGGGAAGGCGAGAAACACATTCATCAACCTGAAACCAATCTGGAAATCTTCGTCACTCAGCATCAACAACAAAATTCGGATTTTCAATACAAACGTCAAGTCAGTCAGTTCTTCTATACGGATCAGAAACTTGGCGGGCGGGTCACAAAGAATATTTCCAACAGCCTGTTGCAGACCTTTATCAACAACTGTCTTCTCTCTATACTGAAGATCAGATGGCCGGACCGGAAAGAATCACCAACAAGAAACTTTGGGAACAAACAAAATAAGAACCAATCGCCCAACAAATATGCAGGAGAAAGTGGAGATGGATTGGACACTCGCTGAGGAGACCGCTGGGTGACATCGCGCGTCAGGCCAGCTCGAGTGGAACCCGAAAGGGAAGCGGCGTGTGGGACGTCCAAGGGTGACATGGAGGAGATCGTGTGAAGAGGAGTTGAAAGAATATGGACTAACATGGATGAAGGTGAAAAGTACAGCAGAAGACAGAAGCAAATGGAGACGTGCAGTTGAAGCCCTATGTTCCACTAGGAACCCAAGGGAGCAATAATAAAAAATAATAATGTGCTGTCTCAGCTGAATAGTTTATTCGCGTAGCCTTCATTACTTTACTAAGTAATTTTATCAGCACGTGCATGGTTTAATTTGGAGTGATCTTTTAATTCTCTCCACGAGTTCATTAGTCATCTCTTATGGTAATACTGAAAGTCAGGATTAGTTGTTTTCGTGAGTGTTTTTATACCCTCTGGTCTGCTTGTATTGATATTCATTATTTTCTTGACTTGAAGAAGTCCAATGGAATTCTGACTTCGGATTTCTCTTCTCTTGTGAATTTGATGCAGTTGAAGATGTTTTTTATTAAGTTGTGGGTTATGTCTAAGTGACTTCTTTTGTTTATAACGAATATGTCGTTCACGTGATGTTGTCAAAGTTTGCGTTTGATCTTCAGTAGGATTATGTTTTCAAGTCATTACATAACCTGATATGGGTGATCAAATAAGTATCCCTTTAATTTTTAATTTATATATTTGGCCACGAAATTGAAAAAACAGTTAGATACAGGTTTTTGTATTCCATCCAACTTGTGCGTTGTATTTTTGAGTGTTATCAGGTGTGAATGTCTTTGCTGGCTGAAGCAGACGCCTTATTCATATGTATGAACATTAACTAACAGTCATAAGATCTGATATTCACTTTCTCACTCACATCACTGCATACAGACAACGGTGGACATCTGTTCGACTGGAACAACGTTCAAATATTTGACAGAGGAAACACCAGAAAATTTTTGGAAGCATGGTATTCAAGCGAATAGACACACTGACACAAATACAATATTTTCTAATCATTGGGAAGGAAATCTCATGCACAAAAAGGTAAATTTCAACTGTAAAAAACAAACGATATCAATACAAGTAGACTAGAAGGTGTTAAAACACAGACAAAAAAAACAACCGATCCCGATTTTCAATATTTCCAGAAGAGATAACTAATAAACTCGTGGAGAGAATTAGAAATTCTCTTCAAATTGAAGCGCACACGTACTGAGAACGTTGTTTGGTAAGACAACGAAAGCTTCTCAGGTAAACTATCCAGCTGATAGAACAACCATATCAAAAGTTGGAATAATTGTACTAGATATGGAAACTCGCTTCAGCCAACACTGTGAACAGAGACGCTATTACTTAGATATTCGGGGGACTGCAGAATGGTATGACACGGGTTCGCATATTTTTAGGGGCATCAGGGGCTTCGAGGCTGTAGATGCACCTCACCGACTGATGCCAGTAACAATGGAACTTAATTCATGAGCTTTGAGACATCTGTCTTTAACCAGCTAACATCAGATTTGGATATTTCACTGCAGTTAATTTGTGATTAAGTCATAAATGGAAATTTGGTATGCTAATAACTTACTGATAAAATTATAGTGATTGGTCTTTAAAAGCATTTTTCCAAAGTCATAAACATTCTAAAAGGTATATTACTTAAAAAACATTATTCGTGTGCAGACTTTGCGACGTGGGCCTGTTTAAAACTTCGGCTAGTGAAAAACCTCCATCAATAAATATTCCAAATAATTTCTCTCCTTCAGTTTGTTTAAATCCAGGAAAATGTGACCTCTAATAGTGTTGTTTACTCTGGGGAGTATTTAAAATATTTATAAACTGCCCATTTTCATCTTTCTAATAAACATGAGGTACATAGACTGACTAATTAAAAAATAATCAGGGTGAAAAGGCGAAGTTTAAGAATAGGGTCCCAAAACCTTCAACGCTCAAATGACCTTGAACGCATGCTAGTCGTTGGCTAACGGTTCGTGTCATTATCATAGCTGAAATATCAACCCTATTCATCAATTAAGGAGCACGTTTCACTCAGATAACACCTTTATTACTGTTTGGATAATATGTTAACATCTCGTTAGGGTTAGGATAGGGGTTAAGGCGAGTATTATGGTTAGGGTTAGGGTTATGGTCATTGTGTGCGTCGGTGGCACAATGGTTAGGGTTACGGTTAGGGTTAGGGTTTAGGGTTACGGTTAGGGTTTAGGGTTAGGGTTTGGGGTTAGGGTTAGGGTTTAAGGTTAGGGTAGCGATTAGGAATAGATTTTTCGTTTATTTCAAGTTCTTTTATTATCCTTATTTCCCTTGTATGTAGTCGCCAATGCTCTTACTGGAACCATAGTAACTAAACCGAGGGCTTAGGAGAGGACTTCACAGCAAGAGAAGAGAGATGAACCATTCCCAAAACAGCACACCTTCAGTCACTTTGGTGAATACATCTACAGAAACTAGTCCAAATCAGCAACTGATACTCTTCATCGCAACTGGAACGTATTTTTAAGTCATATCAGAGAAATATAATCCGTTTAATGTGTTTTCATGCATTTTCTTGTGAATATACGTCATTTTCGTGCAAAAATTGCTCATTTTTATGATGGGCTGCTGGTAGGTCACTCGTGCGTTCGCATCCCTTGGGACGCTATTGTTGAACTTTGCCGGTGAAAAAATAAATAAATGTCTATGCCTCTACAACCAGAGGTAGAAATAGACGTTGCACATAATATCTTTGAAAACAAAGGTGTCTGACTTAAATCCATGAAAAGTTTGTAACGAAGAAAATACGGACGATAAATTAGCATGAAGATGATGATCTTGGAATCATGGTCACGGTTGGTGTAGAGTGATACAGGAGTGGGTCCAGTACTCTAGAACGGAGCTCCGCACACCCTTCTTCTCTAGCTTGCAAAACCATGCTGCTGGAATATGCTGTCATATTCTACCTACCCTTATTATTGTAAATAATATTATTACTACTATGCTCACTTTGAACTGTCTCCTCTTGTCCACTTGTCATTTTAAATCGAAATTTTCTTTTTGCAATGATGAATTCTATCTCGTCAGTTTACAAACCATGTTATGTGACTTTTTTGCAATTATAATCATACACCACTTCCAACATCTATACATCCATTTTATGAATTATTCTCTTTATATGACACTAGTTGTTTTGCCACACATGACACTTGATATTTAGTTAACGACGATTATGATGACAAAGATTTTAATAGCGTCTCACACAACTATTATTATTATTTTACGCATTCACACCTTTGTTTCAATTCATCGCGGGATATAATTTATCACTAATAGAAAGCACAACTTCAAACGGAAATAGGAGTTACAGAAATGATTAACCACAGATAAAATTTGCAGGGTTCCGGATGTTATGCATCATTGTCTGCTGTTTATATCTCACTGCTAATTTGAATGGAAAAAAAGAATTCGCTTATTATATGTGTACTGGTGGTATGAGCATTAATACAACTTGGTAGTTTGCGCTAACTTACTCTGTCAAATCGATTCACGAGTCTAATATTATAATCAGTATTACTAACAACACCGTCACAATAACATACCACCTCGCAAGAAGAAAGCCCATTGACGTAAAGAGATTCTGCTGTCTCATATCAACAGCAAAAATGGTTGACAGCGATTGTGTATAAGTATGTGTATATGTATACTCTAGATGACCTTGTTATTATTACTCTCTTGGGTTTTGACTGAAACATAGGGCTTCAACGATACATCTCCACTTTCTTCTATTTTCTGTCGTCCTCTTCAGCTGGGTCCACATTTGCTCATAATCTCTCATCTCCTCCTGCCACCACACGATAGTCTCCACATTACTCTAGGACGACCCACTTGTCGCTTCCATCTCATTCGAGCGATTGCCTGTATTGAGTGCAATGTCGTCATACTGTTTCCTCAATGGTGTGTGCCCAACCCACCTCTATTCTCTCCTACATATTCACCGAGCAATCAGTTCTTGTTTGGTTCGCTCCCACAGTCTCTTGTTGTTAATTCTTTCTGGCCAGCCGGCCATTTCATTTTCAATATGGAGCCTGCTAGCGAAGTAGGCAGCTGCTGATAAACGTCTGCACCCTTCTGTTCAAAATGCTTCTCGTCACTCCCACACGCTAAGTTTCTCACCACATAGAACAACTAACTGAATGACTTAAAACTGATGCTGAGTACAATCCGAATCGTGTTGCTTATGTTTAGGCTGAGTGAAGGAGATTTCCAAACTGTTTTTAGAGTGATGATGTAGGTGTATCCTGCCTTTCCGATACTGAATGGCCGGCCTCGGCAGCTTCATCCGTGACACCATCTGACTGTAGTTGAGACGATGCTGACTGCCTAGATGAGTGAAGAGGAGTATACTGTTTCATAAGATTTCTCCCAGTGATGGTGATTAGTGCTTGTATTTGTTGTTGTTGCTGTTGAATGGTTGGTTATCTTGCTCACCTCTGTTTCCTCTATGTTCACTTGGAGTCCTGTCTTCGCTGCATGTCAGCGTTTTATTAGTCAGTGTGTTGGTTTTTACCTTGCAGTAAGTTCTTGAGTTTGTGTGACATTAATCGAAATAAATCATGGGCGTGCGAAATCCAGATCTTCTGGGGTCTCCTCATCAGTCTGGTGTATTCCTCTCTTTTTGCCTCCTGTGCACTGTCTGGCACAGAATCCACTCCACCACAACTAAGAATATCGTCGGTGATAACAGACAGCGTTTTGTTACTGTTGTATTCAATGGAAAGGCTTCAGTGATTCTCAGTTGTGGATCACCTGAAACGTGTCATTGTCATATGGCTGTGGTTGAATGAGGTTTACAAAGACCCGGGTACTGTATGCCATAGTGTTGAAGCAGTTTCCAAATCACTTCTCAATCGGCACTGCCAAAAGCTTTTTCGAAGTTGATGAGGTTTAATTTCTGGTTTGACAGCTATTCTATGCACAGAGTTTCAATTTGATCACCACATGATTTGCCTTTCCTGAATAGACCGTGTTCTTGAAGGTGGAGTTTTGCATCCACTTCATGTTTTATTCTCTCCAGGATGACACGACTTAGTATTTTACTTGTTATGGGCAAGAGCATTATTCCACGCCAGTTCTTGCAAAGGCCTAAGTCGACCTTCTTCGGTATTTTGACAAGGTAGTCTTCTTCCAATCCCTAAGCATCTCTCCTTCCTTCCAAACGTTTTTGGCATGAGCATATCCGCTGCGGTCTCTGTGTCCATTTTCAGTGCTTCAGGGGTAATTCCGTCTGGTTGTGCTGTCCTCTCACCTTCCTTTCAGTAGCTTGACTGCTTACATTCAAGATTTCTGCTTTCGTTGGAGGATGGGTGTCTAGTGGCAGGCAGTTGTGTGCCTGCCGTTGGTGGTGATGGTCGACTCAAGAGCAGATGACCTTAAAAAACACTAATTACACTGATAAGTTAAAACAGTCAACAGCCGATGGGTTCCCAACGTCATAAGTGGGCAGTGGAGGAAAATGCACACAGCAATGAATAGATAAATGTAGTATTTTTGGAAAATGAGATCTTTATAACAACTAGCTGATCTAATTTCATCCTAGATACTTTATTCTTCCAATGGCGATTTTGACTTAATACTATAGGGGAGCAGTTTATACAAGAATGAAATCTTTACACAGCACAAAGGCATGCAAAGAATATATAGAAGGATTTCAACTCTTAGAAAAATATTGCAATTATAATTCAAAGCTTATACCTCAACTCAGAACTGTCTCAGAATTTATGCATAGTAAGTTACTTTAATTCTTCTTTTTCTTTTTTATATGAGTCCATGGTTTTTATTCAACAATAGCATCTAATTCCTAGAATAGTGTTGAAAATTCATGACTAATCAGATCCTTTCCAATTGCGAAATTTTTGGAAAATAATAACAGCTATCCAGTAATCCAGTCTGGTTTTCCAATAGTTCTCTAAATGACGTCAGCTGTCGTTGTCACTAATGTACTTTTTCAGTTTGTTTAGGCTGTTAATTCGCAATACTCTTGAAGAGTTCTCTCATTTTGGCTGTTTACTAGAATTGGCGATATCCAATGTTTCGGTGTTATTGTTACTGGAAATTCGATAATTTTCTGGTTGCATGTAGCACGAGCTGGTGTGTACTTTTCTATTTGCTGTGTCAACTACTACCCTTACCTTTCTCAAAAAGCCGACCTCTATTATTGTTCCAGATAATTGTGTGAACTAGTTGTCGTTGTCTGAAACTCCCAAAATGTTATATGCCTTCTCACAGTCGAGATAGCCAAAATGCGTTAGCGTATATTGGCTTTCTGCCCCTTACTTCATTGCGTAATTTGACATCATATGTTAACGGGACTCTCGTTGCTGTTAAGGGTTCTTCGCCCTATCGTTATATACACTATGTGTCCCTTTCCACTTCTGCTTCAAACCTTAGTTTAACTCGCGGCGTATGTGGGACGAAGCAACTACCATCTAACCTAACACGGGGTGTAGATACAACTCAGATACCCGTAAATGATGAAAGACAGCTTGCTGGCCAGCCATTTCATGTCTTCCACTCTCATCAACGTCTGCGATGTCACACTCAGAGCCAACCAGCCAGCCATAAAGGAGGACGGAGGTAACTGCTGCTGCCGCTAAGCAGTACACACTTATGAACTTTGGTCAACAGCCAGTGAGGCAGCCAGTCAGCTGGATATCACGTCCACTAAGCCACCAGAGATGATGTAGGTTGGTTGAAAAATGTCAAACGAGTCTTCTGTATTCGTGGTGAGATTTCGTCAGCGATCAACTACACATTGGGGTTGGCTGGCTGATGCAATAACTTGCCAAATAAGTGGAGTGGTGGTCTTTACTCTCAGTCACCATTTCACTCCCTCCCTATCGTTAAACTAGCTAGGAGTGAGTCGATGTAGTTCAGAATTCCATTAAACTCATCATCTTACATTTGGCAGCATGAGGGAATCGCATGTCGAACATCCGAAGATTTCTGCTCTTCAAGGTGTGTTCAGAGTCTTCTGCTCTAGTTTGTCAACACCCTCACCCAGGAGGAAGAACTATCTAGTATCTGTATATTCTTAGCCGAAGAGACTGTTATTTCCCGGTGACAAGTGAATTCCTGAGTAGATGAAGTCGTCGGTTAGGGTTAACTCCATCAGCTAGCCATCTCTTTCTTGTGTGGAAGGTATCAGTTATTTTTAATTCGCTTTGTACTTTCTTGTTGATTTATTGAACAGAAGTGATACGCCGTCCACAGGTTGACGACTTTCGGTTCCTTGTGCAGATGCCTAGACGATGTATGATTACTTAACTTTAAGTAAATTGGTGAATGGTGACTTTCAGGTAGCCCAACTGGTCTAGTGAGTAACAAAAACTTCGGCATCTTGAACTATGGTTACTGGATTCAGGTCTCGTTGTGGGGGAGGGGTAGACACCAACACTCACTCACTGCGAAATGCAGGTATACATTCAGATGACGAATGGTCCAAAACAGGACGAAGTGCGCATTCTGGATTCCATCCAATGCTAGTCACCAACCCCCGGCCAACAACTGCTACCTTGCCGTGGTGGTCGGGCTTGAATACCACAGTGACAAAACAAGCTAAACTGGCTAGGACTAATGTCCCTGCAGGTCCTACCATGTCAGGAAGGTTGTTTGGATAGCGGTTAGACTAAAAGCAGTTACTATGGGGTAAATGGGCTCCAGAATCCAATCGGATCAAATGGCATATGAACCCATATGAGTCACCGGCAACCACGGGAATGCAGCTCCTGAAGCTACTCCGCTGCCTTGTGGATTAGACTCCAAGTCAAAGGCTCGGGGGGTTGTCCCTTAAGAAAACCACCTGCTTCGGTCTGGGCGCCCGGGCAGTATCTCAGCCCTCACACAAAAAATGAAGTAAAACAACAAACTGTCATTGAAATTCCTCGCGCGCTGGTAAAAACGATTCCAAGCAACAATGATCCCTCAAACAACTTATGTCCTTCCAACCTTACTTTTACTTTTATACATAGATCCCTTCATTTTGCCTTCCTAACCTTGACTTCTTAACCTTCGACAGCTTTTCGCGTTTGTCTGGATTCCCAGCCTATCTGTGTTGCTTCGAGATGTTAGTGAGTAACCCTCAAAATAGTTGTCCCCAATGTGACATGCATCACACATATCCTGAAACCGCGTTACGCGTTCAAGCTGGTTACCTACAATGTTCGGACGCTGATGCAAATCGGACAACAGGCAAGCTTGGTAAGAACATTGGAAAGCCTCGCTTTCGATGTCTACTGCCTTTCGGAGACCCGCATTCAAAATCCCAGTGAAGTGCTTCGACTATCCTCTCCATCTGGAAGATCTGGCAGTATGTACCATCTACGCTTGTCCGAGGACCCTGTGGTGTCGGCATCCGTAGTAGCTGGTGTCGGTGTCACACTGAACGCTAGAGCCGAAGCTGCATTGCTCGACTGGATTCTCATTAACAGTCGTTCATGTGCTGTGAGGCTGGAAGGTTATACGAAAGTAAGGAGTAGTAGGCCAGATGAGCAGAGTCTATTTGTTGTTTCTGCCTATGCACCGACGGATTGCAACCCGGATGCAATGAAGGATGAGTTCTACCACCAACTTAGTGATCTCTTGAAACAGGCGGATCGAAGGGATGTCGGAGTGCTAGCTGTGGACTTGAATGCACAGGTTGGGTGTCTCAGCTCAGAGGAGAATCGTCTAGGTCGTCAATGGGGCCTACATGGTCGCAGGTCAGATAATGGGAACCGTCTTCTGAAGCTTTGAGCGGACGACAACCTATTTCTAGCCAGCACCAACTTCTGGCACTGCCATCGCCGTAGCGCTACCTGGCATCCTCTCTCTGCGAATAAAGCTTGGACTCAGATTGATCATATTGCTGTCAGTTTAAGGTGGCGAGGATGCATACAAGACTGTCGCTCCTTCTGGAGCACATGCCTGCACTCCGATCATGAGTTTGTGTTTGCCAAGTTCGTCTTGCGATTTGGTGGGGTTCATAAAAGGCGTCGTCTAAACGCTGATGTGAGCAAACTAGTAGCACCTGTTACTTCTTTGAAATACCAGAATGGGTTACAACCAATGCTTGCTAGCAACCACCCAAGTAGTATAGATGAACATTCGCGAGCGTAGCCGTTTGCGGCTTGAAAGAATGCTCCACTTAAAACCACTGGGTTTCTACGAGTTCCTTGCAACTCCTGGATGAACGACGGTCCATTCCGACTGGCAGCGAATACAACAATAAGCAAAAGGCGCTCACGTGCAAGATAATACTAATTTTAGAAATCGAACATGACAGACCAGACATAAATGTGACTATATTTTTCGCTTACTAGTTTGTAAGGGTTAAATATTGACTATTTAATTTGCTGAGAAAACGAATTTATGTTTACAACACCTTCCCCTACAGAAACATCGGGATTTCGTATTCGACCTGTAGCTGGTTTAGTGACACCAAGAGATTTTCTTGCAAGTCTGGCGTTTCGAGTATTTCAAAGTACTCAGTATATACGTCATCATTCAAGACCTTTACATACACCTGAACCGTGAGTTTACAACAAGTATTTGGTTTTACTTTAAAATGTTTATAAAAGTTGATGATAACTGAATCGTAGTTAGCATAGCATGATTCACATAATCTTTTTCTCAAATTGGTGTTGCTCCAATCAATCGTCAACCAGTCAGAATATTCACTTTTCGCTGACCTAACAGAATGGTCTACAGCTCAGAAACAAAAATTATATTTGTTTATAAGTAATCAGAAGAGTATAATGAAGTCTCATCGATAAAATTCATCTAGTGTTAACATATTCTTATAATAGTCCATCTGAATTTGTCTGTTAATGTAGCTACAACTGATGCATTTTCTTATTCACAGTCCAAATTAAATTTTCATGTGATTGTAAAGTTCACCATTTGAATGAAGACTCACAAGCACGAAACTTTATGATAAACGTGAATGCCTTTAGGCTGACTGCTAACGTACAGCAACAACAACAATAATACTGAGGTGTTGGTTTGCAGGGATTTGATTGGTTACAGGAGCTGATCATGAGCTGATAACGGTTAGCGTACCATTGTAACTGGAAGGTCCTGAGTTCGAACCCTGGCTGTGTGTGTGAGTGCTGCTGAAGCGGAGTTCCAACTATAGACAGACAAAACATCCAACTGGCAGCACTTCATACTGGTTTTCCGATTGCTCTCAAAGTGATGTCAGCTCATGACGAAATTCTGTAACGACAATAATAGTTTTTCATTTAAAGCGGAGTTCTCCGTGTGTAAAACTGCTAAGCGTTTATTTAGTTTATTAAATTTACAAGTGAAATCACAGTCGACTTGACACTGTTCGATTTAAAACACTCGACAACCTCTCATGATGCTGTTCTTTGATATCCTTGTAAAAGTAATAAGATTCAGTTTATAAATCGCTTAGAAATGTGCACAAGGGTAGAATACAGTTTAAGGTTAACATTTCACTTTCGGTGGTGGATAAGATGCTTACGAGCCATGTAATTCCTTTTCTACTAGGTGTCTCTCGTTTTCTTTTCCCCACTTGAGTGATTTTGTTGAAGACGCGGACACAAAGTTCTTCTAGATTTTGGTTCCCAGGATAAATACGTCATTGGGAGAAGGACTCGTACATTGCAAAGAAATATGTCACCGTAATGGCTTTTGTACTTTTCTGCTATGTTGTCTGAATTTTGTTCTGAATGGAAGAAGAAGAACAAGAAAAAGTGATAAAAGGATGAACATTTTACCTTGCGCAACCAAATTTCGTGCCTTTGGAGATAAAATGTTTTGAAGTTAATTACTACTCTCCATCCTCCACACACAAGTACCTCTTTCATCCCAACGAGTCGAAAACTACTCAATAGACTATCTAGAACGAAGTACTTCATCATCACAATGCTCCACCAAGACGTATGATCATTACTATGTCAAAAGATTCTTCGACACCGTTCAGGTATATCTTTATATGAGAAGATCTATCGAACACAAACACTTCTCTATGAAATTGTGCTCTGCTTTACATAACAGATTATTGTTTTCCGACGAGGCTGTGGAAGATCTGGATTTCGCGCATCAATCATTTATCCCGTTTAATGTCACACAAACTCGAAGACTTACAGCAAGGATAAGACCAACAAACTGGATGAAGAAGCTGGTAGGCAGAGAAGACAGGACTACACGTGGACATAGAGATGACGCAGGTGAGGAAGATAACCAACCGAACAAACAATCAACCACTCAACAGCAAGAACAACAACCACCAATCAGCAGCATCAACGGGAGAAATTTAATGAAACAGCTTACTCCTTCCATTCACTCATCCATACAGTTAGCATCGTCTCAACTACAGAGAGGTGGTGTCACGGATGAATACGTTGAAGCCAGACAGTCAGGATGGCAAAGACAAGACAGACTTTCATCACGATTCTGAAATCAGTTTTGAAATCTCCTTCACTCAGCCTCAACCTAGACAACAAAGATTCTGAGTCCATTCACTACAAATGTTAAATCAGTTAGTTAGTCAGTCTGTTAATTCTTCTATGTGGGTCAGGAACTTGGCGCGTGCGAGTGGTGGAAAACATTTCCGGTAGCCAGCCTCGAACTTTTATCAACAGCTGCCCACTTCGCTGTCTGGCTCCATATTGAAAATGGAATGGCCTTCTGACAAGAAAATGTGGGAACACACCAACCGTGAGCCGACTGCTCAACAAATGTGCGCCCTGTCATTGGTAGAATGGGACCTTAGTGGGAAACGTTGAATTGGGCGTCTATTCGATTGGGGTATGAAGGAGATTGTGGGGTTTGGAGGAGATGAGAGACTATGGGTAATTGGCAGTCCAGCCAGCTAATGAGGACCGCGCAAAACAGGACAAGATGAAAACGTGTTGTTGAAACCGTATGATCTACTCGAAACTCAAAGGAACAAAACAAATAATATTTGTAGAAGAAGCAATAGTAGATTTTGTTTTTATTCTCTTGAGGAGCGCTAACCAAAGTGCTTGAATTTTCAGCAGGCCTGTAATTTTGAGGGATATATTTTGTATCTTCCCACACGTTTGGAGGCGGCTATTACATTCTCCCACTCAGAACGGTACCTTTCTTCATGTTATAACTGATCTCAGGCTGTCTTTCTGTGGCATGCGTTGAGAAGGAATATCTCTTCTATCGTTCTATGTATTCAGTTTGCGTGGGTGTATGGAATGGCCTAACCGCATCACATTTCAATCAGACTTGATGGATTGTGATCCGCGTCAGGACATTTCTCAGCGTTTTCCAACTAATCCACGCAGAATTCCAACCACAATATTTTTTTCTAAAAAAGTGATGCTTCTTTCATTTAGAGATTGTATTCACGAATTAATCGGCCATATTCCTATGCTGGTAAACAGGAAGTTCGCTGATTTCTCTCAAGAAATCGGTCTTGCCTCATTGGGTGCTTCAGAAGAAGAAGTCAGCAAATTGTCAACAGTAAGTTTTCTTTTTCTCTAATTTATTCTTGATCCAGAGCTTAAAAATGCCTCTCTTCAACTACTTTTTTTTGTTTAAGGTCGAAGATGTGTTTGATTATGATTTAGTTGTGTTACTACACTGACGATAGCTGGTTGTAGATTTAACTGCGAAGCGTACGTTGTCTTCCATCTAGACAACTTCACTTCAGCGCATGCTATTGTATGAAATGGACTTATTTCAATTCTCCAAGAATTATGATATAATTGTATATCTCCCAGCAGAAAACCATCGCCGTGATTGTTTGTTAATCTACGTATCTCTTGATTTTTTTATTCACTTGGAATTTGAGCTTTCTTGTCAAGTTATTTAATTTCTGTTTTATTAATTGGTTTGTTTGGTCTATAGTTGTTAGTGTTAGTTAATCGCTGACTGATTCTTCTGAGTACCAAGCAGGCTTCTAGAAATTCCCTGACTACATATTTTGCATTTTCAGTGTTTAAAATTTCCCAGTTCACCCACTCACGAAATTCGTGTCCGTAATTATCTACATGTATTGATATGAAAGAATGCATGATGTGCATTTCTACAGTTGATTTACGTTCTTGGAGTGGGATGCGAAGGGGACTCCCACTTTCGTCAATGTAATGTCGATCGCAGTTCGTACAATTTATTTTGTAAACGGTGTTGATCTTATCTTCTTTTGTCATTTTTGGTTTGCATAATATCGAATAAGGTGATTGTGTTGGCTTGTGTGCTATGTTTTGCTTGTCTTTACAAACGGTCTTAGTATTCCAGCAGTTACTTGTACCAGAGATATTCTTTATACATGCTAGAGTGAATTTTCTTCTGTTCTTTGATGACGGTTTCTTCTTGAGCTTAAACAGTTTTTCAGGTATTTGTATGGGTATATATTCTTTTCGAAGACAGTAGGTATTTTTCTTCCATTCATCTCTGCATTGGAGTGCTACAGTGTTTTTGGAGTCTTTCTAAACGATACCTGCACACAGTTTCTTTTGTGAGTAGTCGGCTTATTGCTGGTGTAGTTGATTTTCTGTATACATGTGCTTGTATAGTTCCTGCGTTAGTTCTCTTGACTAAGACATCTCCATGACTTCGGTTAATTTCCAGAGATTGCAATGAGAATGTTTGTTTAAATATTTCTGCCAAGTTAAATAAACAATTTACTTCTGAGCTTCTCGTGACAGTTGACGATGATGGATGGTACGGCCGATGATGTTATAAATTTCATTGAAAGATAGATGGGTTCTCTGGTTGATGCCAGCGATTTGCAGCTTACACAGTTCGAGCAGGGGAAATTTCACCGGAGTTCCCTTGGAAAGCAAGTTATTTCGATCACATTATGTTTTCAACTGCTTGATTCCACCGTAAGTGGTAGTCAGAAAAGCAAATAAATTTGCATAAAAGTATATACACTACTGATTTGCGGAGATAAGTAGTAGCATACCACTCATGTTAATCACCAGTACTTACTACCTAATAGCTGGCCAGAAATCAAGTGTGGTTTGAACTAATTCGGCTCTATCCTTGAGCAGCTGAGACAAGCTGAGTACACTGATAACTGATGAGCTTGGCTGAAAACGAGCGAAACGGCTTTTCTGTGCTTTTCTAGATCACCTCCATCTGGCTGCCTAACGAGCACAGCTGTTTGACATTAGTGGTAAGCAATTACTCGTCTCAATCCATCAGTGGTATATGTAGTTTTGAGCAAATAAATAATGATTACATCGTCTAGCGAACATGTGCACACGTTTTCTAAGGATGGTAAACTTCTACGTCATTGATCTTGTTGACGGATAACGTTTTCTCTGTCATTTTCATCAAAGAAGTACTTGAAACACCTGAACATTATTAGTACATTCCGAATAAGTATGTCTAAAAATAATTCATTATCAAAAATGTTGGGTGGTAGTTTGAAATTGCATTTAGTTCTATAGGTGAGGTATGTGTTGTATATTACTGCACGTAGTGCTATAGTAAAGCTATTTTATAGACTTGATAACTTGTTAGGGTCAACTAATCTAGACTCTGCTAGGTCTATGTGCTCCAATAATCTACTTGACCCCGTCCTACTACTTCGGTCTATGTGTCTGTTTAACCTAAAAGTCATTACAAGATGTTAGATAAACTGAATTGTTTTGTTATTAATGGGCTCCATAGGATCGTTTAATCGGCAAAATTTGTTTCCAAGTGACTCTCTGGGTGCGAATAAGCAGCACAAAAACCTAGGAAATTCCCAGGTTATTGACCCTAATAAGATAATTAATTTCGAGGACAGTTCAGCTATGACGCTACATACAACTAAACATAACCATACAATAGGATGGGATAAGATGGCAGTTCTAAAACTCTACATAATAGGGTAGAGGGAGACACCGATAATCGAAGCCTAATTCACCGACTTAAGTAGAACTAAGTGTGACTACAATGAATCACCAACTTTGTTGGACATATGGAAAATTATACTACCTCCTTAGCTGATATGAAAGAATAAAGAGAGGTATCAAAATCATGTTTCGAAGTTGAGCCGTGATGGCTGTTAAGAATAAATAGTGTTTATAAACGGCTTTCATTGGGTAATATTGTTTCACTGAGTGATATATACAAAAGGCAAATGAGTAAGACGATTGGCTGTTCACTTCTGACAAGTTTCTGTTTGATCCCATACGATTCCCTATAAAAGTTAGATGATATACATCAGTATGTTGTCATGAAAACTAACACAGACGCGCTTAGAAGCAAATAATATGTATGGTAATTAGACTGCAGATGTTACTAATTTCCTGGAATAATTTTAGCGTTGAGTCAAATTGAATCATTACAAATTACTTAAAATAATCCCACTGTGTCCAATCAAAACACACGCTACTGGACCATACAATTACTCACACGATGATGGTGTCATGAGACGCAAGCAATTCTTCAGAGACGGTAATGGGCGAATATGCTGAGTCGCCTGACATCCTCAGCCCAACTATAGAGGCTAGGTTTCATAGGCGTGGATTAAGACTGAGCTCACTAAAACGTTTTAAACCCCACCTTTGATAGCTGGACAGGTTGACGTCGTGACGGATTAACAGTTGGCTCATATCAGTGTGTGCCAGCCTAATTTTCATGATACAGTTGGAAATCTCATCCGTCACACCTCGGCCAGCACTCACACACAGAACTATCCAGGTAGACGAAATTATGGACCACTTCAACTAATTCATCTGTAGCAGCAGGGGTTGCTGGTGCAGGATCCTGCCAATCTGGTGACAGTACTTTGCACTCAAACAGAGCAAAGCACATACCATACTCTCAGACACTGACCACCAACTGAAAAACTGCGATTTGGACAGCCTGCGTGCTATCTGTCGTACAGTAGTGAGACGATATTATCTGCATACTTGACGTCGAAAAGTATTTGTCTAGGAAGCAGACCTACACTACCACCACTCAAGAATGTCATAGATGGCACAGTTACAGAAAAATGGGGAGATCGAGTAACCCTGTCTAAACCAACCGTTTGTTGGTTTAGAGATTCTGAAACTACTGGCTAGTCTTCAGCCGTCAAATTTGAAAGTGACGGTGCACATAGACCAGTGAGTCGCCCTTTCACACTCCAAAACTACTCAGTTATATTTTGATGCATTTGAAATATGTAACATTTATCGATGTTGACTGTGAAGGATGAGAACTTCAAGATATGTGGGTAAGTCAATCTAATCCAGTTATGTTCTCTGAGCTGGCTGATTCAATTTGCGCAACTGTCGTTGTCCTTCTATAAACCTTTAGTGCAGGTTTTAGTATGAAATGAACTTATTTGAATTCTTCATGAATGATATTTATTTGCATGCCTTGCCGATCATTTTCGTGGCTCGTTGTTTATTTACGCCTCTCTTGATCAATATTACTCACTTGCAATTTGAACTTTCTTCCCATCCAACTGATTTTCTGTTTCATTACTGGGCAAAATTAGCCTATAGTAGAGAGTTTCCTAGTCTCTGGTGCTTCGGAGTTTCAACAGGGGATATCGAAATTCCTGGACCGCATCATTGGTGTTTCCTCGGTTATTTCCATCAGTTACGTCTTCTTCATTTTCACCCATCTTCCTGTCACCCGTCGCTGCTTCTTCATCCAGTTTGTTGGTTTCCGCCTTGCTGTGAGTCTTCGGTTTTGTGTACGACATAAATCGTCAACGAAATCCAGATCTTCTACAGTCTTCTTATAGGTCAAGCCTATTCCTGCCCACTCACTCCTCACTCAAAATCTGATGCATAATCCAGTTCCCCATAATTAGGAATATCATCGGTGATAGTAGGCAGGCAGCCTAGCCTTATTCTCACCTACCCTTCATATGTTAAAACTCATTCGATCATCAGTATATATTCGTCCATTTTATCTTGAATGCTTAACGGCTACGAATGGCCATAACAAGAATAAATGTTTAGTGGCAGATAATATGTTTGATAGTGGGTAGTACTCGGATGCCTCATTTGATTTATCTGCATTTCTTTCGATGATAGTGTCGCTTTTGTGAGTTTAGACTAGTGAACTAGTCTTTTCAGACGCCCAATTTCTAACAATTCATTATGCCACCGATTGAAGAACGCCAACATTTTTTTTGGAATCGACTTCACTTCCTTTCGGTTTGACATGCTCAGTGCCTCTATAGAAATGTCACTTCGTGGTGCAGATTCTTTGACAACGCTTTGAGAATAACTTTTGATGCAACAAAATAATCCATTCTAAAAAATTTTTTTATATTACTTTATTCTCCTACTTAATTAATTCTCTGTTTACTTGCCCGATTTCGAAATCTCATTTCTTTTAAAAGTAAATTCATGTGTTATACTTCACTGTTCGCCTGACATTACACCATATTTCATACACTTACTCCTTTTTATACATTTGAAAAAAGTAAGAACAACGGTGGCGGTTTGTGAAGGATAAAATGTTATCATTAATGTTTGTTTCATTGGCGTCACATCATCAACTGCTTACAGCCTAGACATATTATTCGATTTATGTACGGAAACAATTTTAACAAACTTATCCAGAGGGTACAAGTTTAGACAAAAGCATCAGTTTATACAAGAACCGTAATAGCAGTAATGATCACTCTATTCCAAAAAAATTCCAATCATACAGAACAGAATTCTCGGCGTTACGCAATTAAATCAAGGAGAAAATAAGGAATTCCAGTTGTTACGAGGGCGCCAAGGAAAGACTGATAACTGCTTCCTCCTTCTGAACGCATTAATCGGTTTTCAGGCGTTTAATGGAGATTGCTTAGGAAAATTCGAGGAGAATAGAGCTCCTTTGTCTAATGATATTTCTGAAGAATCTTGTGACGTCCACCTTTTGATACATATCATGGAAATCCAAGGCAGTGGTACTATTAAAAGCGTTTGTTTCCTTTTGCCGTTAACGTTTGGAAGATGTTTAGGAAATCGAAGGTGTGACTTTCTTACCGTAGGCAAGTGTAAATTTATATAAGCAGTTACAGTTAACATGAAAAGTGTGTCTGTTGACTTTTGATTGCACCAAACAGCATATTGTCCAATAAATGGGAACCAAAGCAGCCGAAAGATAACCTCAGACTGTTTAGTGATGCATTCAATCTTCTGTTGACTATTCATGTATAATTATTCCTTTTTAAATCGAGCTGAATGAAGATAATCCCCTAATCGCACTGTGATTTGTTTGGGATTAGAGCTTTCAGTGCATCTTACGTACTTGTTAATGAATGTTTATGGGGGTAACCATTGTTTTTCATCGCCTCTTCGAGCATCGGAAATTCTTCCCCTAATTTATGTAGAGTGTATCCTCTGACGGACTCTATAGAACAACAGAGTATTTTTACTAATGTTCGTTTACAGCCAGCTATTTGAACAAAACCTACTAAAGTGTTAGGTATTGTCCATTCCATATCGGTTGCTTCCGGTAAACATGGACCTCCGGAGGTTGTATCATCTTGCAGGCATTTTATGGCATGATGGCAGGGAGAGAAGTAAAACTTTCTATCATTTTTATGTTCCATATTCTGATTCTCTTAAGAAATATATCTACAAATGTATTGCACAGTAAGTGAGAAACACAAACTGTGAGAGTGAATTTTTCTCCTAAACTCAATTGACTTCTTCTCTTCTATTATTTCTCACGATGTTTGAATAAAACTGGAGTTTCAATATGGATAGCAGTTATATATTTGCTTTTTTTATAGTTATACTGGTTTACGGTGGAGTTTGGTCTGTGTTATGAGAATGGTGAAACACGTGCCATGGGAGCCGGAATTATGTCATCCCCTGGTGAATTAGAGAATGCTTTCAGTGAGGATTCGGTGAAAGAACCACTTGATATCAATAAAGCAGCTGTACAAGTCTACGATGATGTTGGTTATCAACAGATATATTTTGTCACTCAGTCTGTTCAGTCAATGAAACAGGCGCTTAGGTAGGTTCAGGATGTGATAAGTGTTGACTGATTACCGTAACTACTCTGTTGTTTTTTATATCCAAATCTTGGCTTTGGCGGCTTCCATGAAACATCGGGCTACCGAAAACAACCTCTATCATTATAGTTTTGCAATATAATTTCCCTTATTCATTTTGTTTCAGTCTGGTAAAAGTATGAACTGTAGCAGCATTGTTAACTCTGGCGAGTATTTTAAAATATTTACACTTGAAAATATTTACAACCTGCTGATTCGCAAGTTTCTCCTAAACTTGAGAAAAAGCATTATTTAAAAGATGGTTGCAAAGGAGAAAGATTTTTTCCACTAGAAAAAGTCACCGTCAAATAGGCTGAATATTTGTGTGTTTATAGTAAATGGGTAACAAGGTTCCAGAACTACTTCCCGTCGGTCAAGAGTCAAATTAATAAAATTACGAAGTGTAATAAACGGGGAATTCGACTAAAAGACATATTAATCCAGATAGGAATTAAAAAGCTGACGTTGAAATAACTGAAATAAACAGTAAGATTGGATAAGGAAGGTAAACAGATTTATCATCATTGTGAAATGGCCATGATGGGGACGTCGGTTGGATGTATTTCTTTTGAATACATAATTTCATGGGCTTGAAATTTGTGGATCGATATTGCCTCTCTTAGCTATTGCCAGCCTAATGCCTTGATATCACTTCCTCCCTTTGCAAGAGAGATTTGATCGGTTCCATTTGATTACTTTGAAGAATTTTTCACCAAATGGAGCTGAATTCTCCAGATGTTCTGTTCTGTTAATGAACTATATACACCCTTGCATACTCACTTTGATAGCCAACTATGCTGGATAGTGCCTCTGAGAGGATTTTACAAGTGGACGCACGGTATGACCAATGTACTCCACTCTACACGAGCAGAACGACTGGTATGTGCATGTTGAATTGACCTGATGGGGTGACAGCTTGTCCATCACGAACGTGCTGGTTGAATGTTTCCTTGCACAAGAAAATTTCAGCCGTAGGGTGATGGTGAACTATATCGTTTTACTGAGAGATTTCGAAAAACGATCAACGGAGAGACGGTCTGCTTTAGTATCACTTTTAAATTTGGGGTTTAGCATCAGCAACCTCTTTTGCGGTAGGTTGACTTGGACATTTTCAACAGACGTTTCCTTCCATTTTGGATTCTTGTCTATGAATCTGGGTGGAAGGAAAACACTTTCTGTCTAGGTCCTTCTGAGATTTCACAATTCTTCGTCAATTGATTTCTCAGTGCATATTTTCCAGGTGTTCGAGTAAAGAAAGAGAGGGTGTATGAGGTTTCTTTTTGTGCTAAAAGAAACACAACTTTCAAAGTTGGTAAACTCTCTGTCCCGGTGGGCTTCATATAGGTGAATCTCGTTAGCGAGTTTTCGACATTTCTTCATAACTGAACATCGAGGACAAAATGAAACATTGAGTCAGATTCAACTTCTAGAGGGAGTTTTATGTTTGGGTGAGTATTAGTGAAAATTTGGAGTAGGTCTCTGACATCCAAATCCTCACCACAAATAGTGAAAGTGAATCATCAGTGTATTTCTTCTTCTGGAGATGGATCTCGTCGACAATTGATGATAAGGAGTTGTTTTCTAGTCTAGCCATAAATCAGTCGTCCAAGAGGGAGACCATAAAAGAAAACCCATTGCTACTCCATCCAAATTCAACTGTTTATTTTGTTGTTGAATCCAAAGTAGAAGCTGAAAGTGCATTGTAGTAACAGCTCCTTTATATAATGGATTGGTATACCGAATTCGATGCTACTGGATTGAATGAAGACACTAAGAAAGCATATAATTTCTGTCAGAGGAAGGTCATTTTTTTTATCTTCCCAGTTAAAATTCTTAACTGGTTCAGTAAAATCGAAGATGTCTCAGAGGTTGTATCTCGACAGTTTTGCTTTCATCAACCCAAGAATCTATACCAGCCACTTCATGATTGACTGATAATGGAAAATATCGTCATGTCTAATATTGGGCGGAGTGGGACGTCTTGTCTGTGTACTTTAGATATGCCTCGCATGCGCATCGTTGTAGAACCAGATGAACAAAGCTGTTAGTATAGTCGCGTGGGCTCGAAACCCAGTGGGTGCCTATTGTCGATGAGTCCCAAACTGGGAGGAAACAGCTGTCAGTAATGCCTGGTTCTTCAGTGGTTCGCTGACTGATATCAATCCGTGGTCTAACCTGAAACAAATGGAATCCATGCAAACTAATTCTTGGAAAATAATGGATTCGCCTTTCATTTTTTTCAATATCTTTATCATCTGGAGTTCCTTCTGTTCAATGAGATCTTTTCAGAGCGACCGTTTTCGAAATTTGTTGTCATCAGGTAGTATTAGCAAGAGTATACTTAGACTGAATTGTTCAGCGGAACAACTTCAGAACCATTATCTGGCCGCATCGTGATCAAGTTTTCATTTTTCTTCAATTCTCTTCTCTGCTTTCAATAATCTTTGGACAACTGGTCACGAAAGCTAGATTTTTCTATCCTCGTAATCGAGGCAGAAATTTAAAATAGTTAATTTGAAATGGTCTTCATTTTGTTACATAAGATTGGAACCAGATAATTCATCTAACTAATTAGGTTCTCTAGTGCTCATTCAAAGCGTTCACTTTTCACGTTGCTACATAAAAATTACTACAAAGTGACGAGATTTGCATTTTCCAATTGGCATTAGTGAGTGATTTCAAGTAATTAGTTCACTTTATGAATTCTGATAAAATAGTAAGAATTTGTATTTTATCTGAAAGGTGTAATGTAGTGTATTTGCACAACACATTTCAGATATTCAAATCGCACCCACGAGTACTTGTCATAAACATTAATGATGAAGGCAAGCGGTGGCATGACTTATCACAATGCAGATTAGTACAGCTTTTTGCAAGTCATGGTCGGAAATAAGGGGTGTAGTAAGAAAGGAAGAGCTTCACAATATCGCTAAGTAAATTGAACTTCGGGTCTAAATTACATTACCAAATGAGCTAAATACGTTCGCTTTGCCTTCCTTGATTACACATCTGCATTTGACTCTGTTCCCAGGTCTCTCTTGCTAAGTAAGCTTGCTGCAACACAGTCTGAGAGCTGGACAAATAAGGGTTGCATTCCTATTTTTCTGATAGGAAGCAGTACACCGTCTAAAATGGAAAGTCAGTCCTCCACTACCTCACTTACTTTAGCTGGTGTTCCTCAAGGTGCTGTTCTTTCTCCCTTTCTGTTTTCGTTTTTCTTACATGACTTGCCTCATTCTTGTTAAGTATGCCGATGACCTCTCTGTTTGTATGCCTGTCAACTCTCAGTCAGATTGTTTCAAATTAAATAACTTTCTGTCGGAAATTAGTCAGTGGCCCTCTTCAAACGGACTTAAGCTTAACCCGTCTAAATGTCAGGTAGTCAATTTCATTTTCAGACGTAAATGTGACCTACAGCGACTAGTTAGCTCTAATGGCCCCACTATCATTGATGGCACAGAGGTTGAAAATACATCTAATGTCAAGTACCTTGGGCTGAGTTTTTCCATCGATCTTTCCTGGTCTTCCCACATCTTGCTAGTTACTAGAAAGATGTTTCGCTTAACGTTCTACATTAGGAAATTTAGGCAGTCTGGCATAAAGCAATCTTTACTTTCTCAGTTTGTAAATTCTTGTATTCTACCCATCCCCCCCTTTACTGCTCCCCATTAGTCTTTCCTGGACTACTTAGGAAAGACTTTGCTTTGCTGAGAAGGGCAGGCACTAAAAGCCGTTAGTAGGTCAAGTGGGATATCGTTAAACCAACTGGTCAACACTATTGTGGATAGACATATTATGTCATGTAAGAAACTAGTGAATACAATATTGTCGGACTCCGAGCATCTTCTCTATACGCAGCTGTCTCCTTGCATTTCATCTGGTAGAACTAGAAGCAGCTATAGGCGGCTATATGCTGGGACTACCAAATACAAAACTCCTCAATACCATATCTGGCACAGCTGTTATGTGATGAGAAATCCGTTAGGTATGACACGATAAACTTACTGCGGCACTCTGACAAATAGTTCCATTAGTTTTTGTTTTCCTTTCTTCGTTACTGTTACATTGTTGTTCTCATCTTCTATCACACATCAACTTTATATTTCATATCCTGTGGTGCATTGTTTGAAATGTAAACTCTACGCTGTTTTTTTTAATTTTTATTTATCTTTTAATTTTTTGGCGTTGGTTTTTTTCATTTATTTATTTTTTGATTTTAAAATTCTTATAAAATTCATGAGGTATTTAGATGCAATATATTGTAATGCACGCTGAAAATTCCATACCTGTACCACAAACACCGTTTGGAATAAAGCTGTTAATATTATTATTATTTTTATGGGCAAGGCTTCAACGAATTTAAGTATGTGACCCAACCTTGTTCTGTGTATGGATATAAAAGCTATCTCTATGATGTCCTTCCCTACATGTGAGGTTTGACATGTGTCCTCAGAATCAGTTGTATCCGGTTGTTTTATTTGTTTTTGCACCCACTTCTTTGGAATATGTTCTGCATAGTCTTAGCCTGAAGAGACCTACGGGTCCTCCCTATGTACGTGTGTCCATACATGCACACTTAAATTGGTAAACATAGTCGGATGTGACGTTATCGTTCGGATGCTGTGAGGGAGTATATAGGGCAGCGAAGATCTCGTTCTCTCCAAGAAAATAAGTTTGTCTACATAGTAAGTGTTTTCTATTGATTACCACCCTAAACACCCTTGAACGGCAGTGATATATAAACATCCCTTTTGGAAGCTGACTGCCTGGATCCGTAGAGCCTTCTGTTTGGTGCTTCTGCAACGCTAAATGAATTTCAACGGATAGTTGTCATCTAGGAATACTTCAGTGAGGTGCTGTGTTTCTTCTTCATTAATGGTGACGGCTGTATATATATGTTGAAAGCTGCGCCTGAACAAGAACTTAACCAACACCTTTTAATACTGTGTAGTGGACAGAAACTATGATAATTTATATACTATCCATTCCATGTGAGCTTTTTATAGACACATCATTTTATTGACCCATCTTGTTGGTGACTGGTTATGGGTACATCTAAAAATTGCAAACAATCATTATTCCCTTTCCACGTATGTTAGCGATAGTGAGTTATTGAGACATAAGAACAATTGAACACGTATTTTTCAGGGCAAGAAGGAAAACTGGTTATTCCCATTGTTAATAAACTTTCGAATCTGATTTGGTTTCATGATGACTTCACCCGTTCTTCTCTTCGTAAATGTAACTGTGATGATTCCCCAATGCTTTAGAATATTCATACTTATCCAGAAAATTCTTCCAGAAGAAAATCACTTCGATCTCAGATGCAATTATATATTCCCCAGCTGACATATTACACTGAAAGAACACATCCTGAATCATATCAGTGCTGTATGATTTATATTATTTGAACTGGAGAGCAGAATACCTCAAGAAACTCCCACATTCACTATGAGTCACCTAATGATGAAGAACGAACATTATTGGAAAACTACACCACTACTGCAATTACCAAGAAGAGAAGAGATGATGTCGTTATGTGAAAACAATTCAAAGTCTAAATTCTATTACCACGAAAACATTTTTTCCTCCTTGCTCTGAAAAATACGTGCTCAGTTATTCTGATGTCTCCCTTAGACACTATCACCAACTCGAAAATGCAAATCTTGTCACTTGGAGCTAAGTTTTGTGACGTGACGTCAAAAGTGAGCGATTTGAACACTAAATAACAATAAAAATTCGCTATATTCCAAAACTCTACTTACCATATAGGGTGGAATGCATCCTCAGTATTTGCCACAATACTGCATCTAATTTACTCGACAACAGTAAGATCAAAAATATAAAAAAAGGATACTAGAGGATTGTTAATAGCAGGATTTTGGGTATTTGTAGAGAAAATAAAGTCAAAACTGTACAAAAGGTGTAAAATAATGATGATAATCATGTCAATGGCTAAAATTATAATTTTATTGAGTTTCACAAGTAGGGGATAGAATAAAAGAGCCGATTATTTTGCTAATAACGTACTAAATCGTGGGTAGGTTCCTCACTTAGCTTACTATTGTCTCTGTCACATAAGATGTGGGCGGGTGGGCCAAATACGGTATCAGTGAGTTTCTATTCCTGGTTGTGCGAGTGAGCATATAATCTTGTATGATGACTTCTAGTCCTACCTGATGATGAGATACAAGGGAGTGGGGAGAGCTGAGAATACGGATTTGAACCTTTTCTCACATGAGTTGTCCAGGTATCTATCAACTACTGCTGATTTGTTGAGAGCATATACATTAATAGAGAGAACACCTATACTTTGCTTACCACTACCAGTAATTTCATTAACAAGTTTGTACATGTTCGCGGGAGTTTTACATGACAAAAGTCTTTGGTTATAAACAGTGTTCAGTCGTTGGATTTCTGGTTTGATCAGTATGTTAAATCTTTTGAGACCAGATTTGTGTTTAGACTTGTTTAATCGCTCTTCCTCTCTGCGAAGCTTTATGAGATGAGGAGAAGAGAAGCAGTCCAGTCTTTTGATGAACAGTGTCTTTTTAGGGCAACATACGTAGAGGTAGAATTTAAGATAATCAGTTTTATTAGTAACAGTATCGTCCAGTGTATACTCAGTGAATAGTTTCCCCTTAGTGTCATTCAGCCTGCAACTAAGATTATGTATATTTTCCTGTTGCGTTTTCTTACGAAGGTGAGAAAAAATACTTGTGTAGGACTTGCCATATATTTAGGCAATACTGTAATAACCTGAATTCAGTATTGAAGCCCGTTCAATTCGATAACCGAATTAGTCAGACGAATGATCCATTTTTTCAGTCTCATGCGACTGTGATTTTTGCATCTGTTCAGTTGCATGCCTGGCGTATTCTACAAGTTCATTGCTGGCCAACTTGCAGAATGGTATTAACAGTAATAGAAAAACTAAATGATGAGGATGACTTAGATAAAGGAGCACGATTGGTCAGGGAAGTTTCGTGTTCTGCCTTTGGAAGTGAATGAGAGGTTGTTACTTCCTGCCTACCCGAAGTGTGGAAGTTGATTTTTTTTGGGGTACCTAAAACAGAAAGATAATTAGTGTTGCATGACCACACAATCCAGGGAACATCTGCTTCACTCCGGTTACATACACATCCTATGTGAACTGGCTTTCAGGTTTGGTTCTGTATTAGTAACTTATCGCCCTCTACAGACCTCCGTGGGGTAAGTATGAATGGGCAGTTTTTGGGGTCAACCTTTTGTAAACCCCTTTTTCCAACACAGTACAGACATGACATAGTTGGCTAGCTGTTCACCTGAGTGGAACACCTTATTGCAGCTGTTACATACATATCCCCCAGTAGAGCAACTTTGCCCACAAAACCCTAGCATAGTGTAAAAAATCTTTCACTATCCCGGTAACTACTTTTAGTCTAATCGCTATCCTAACAGTCTACCTTCAGCACCATTGCTTCCAGCCGGTGTAACTTCTTGGGTGATTGCTCTATGCAAGCCTGACCAACACGTCAAGGTAGCAGTTATCAGTCGGGTAAAAGTGCTGCATGTCTGTTCAAAGTTCTGTGTTAAAATCAGCGAGACAGCTACAAGTTCATTCGTTTCTACGACAAATACAGGGAAGAAAACAAAACACTTTTATCAGTAACATGGATGATTTTGTGAAAAAAATGTTTTGTTATTCTGCATTTATGATTAGTTCTACTGCATTAAATTAAATAACTTGTCACTTTGACTGATCTATGCCCATTCAAGTGATTAACATGAGCGGGAAACAACCTCGTGAATTTGAAATTCACTTTATTTATTTTTTTATTTTTTTTATTTATTTTTGATTACAGCTTGACTCCACACCGCATTTTTGGTACAAGTGTGGAATTTTCAGCGTGGATATCGGTAGCCCAAAATTCGCAGGCCGACCATAGATATCAGGTGTGAGTCGGCGTGGGCTCGAACCCCGGACCATGTGCATGGTCGGCGAGAGTCCTAACCACTGTGCCACCGACGCACCGACAGGAATGAATTAACAAGAAAGCAACTGATTGTTTTACTTTTTGAACTGGAAATGTACTCCGTATTGATGGAATCTAATAGTCGATACTTCAACAGTGATCGAAAACACACATCATTAGTGTGTCTTTTACGAACATGTTAACATTTAAAGGGTCGTAAATTATTTCTGTATTAATAATTGAGGACACGTTTGCATCCACTAGGTCATACCAAGTTAGTATATCCTCTGAACTTTTTTGGTTGGTCATTTCATATGCTGTCTATTTCCAAGAAAATGTTCCATCTAACCACATTCCACCTAAAGAAGTTAAGACGATCCGGAATTGTACTCAACTTTTACTTTTACAGTTTGTTAACTCTTGCATCTTACCTATTGTTCATTATTGCTCCCCCACCACCTTAGTCTTTCCTGGGCTACTCAGAAGGGACTATGTAATTTTTTTGAAGGTATTACAGCTTTTTAGTAGGGTAAACTGTGTTCCACAATTTAGTCAGCCCGTTACTAGTCTGGTCGACAGATACCTGAACAATGGATTTGAGAAATGGTCCAAATCCATATTGTTTGATTCTAAACACCCTGTCTATTCTCAATTCTCCCCGCTCCTTTACATCTAGTCATCAGGTAGGATCAGAAGTCATTAAACAAGATTATATGCCCTCTCGCACTACCAGTTATGCAAACCCAACGATACTCGATTTTGCTCACTCACCCGTGTTATATAGGTGTGTCGATGGCACAGAGGTAGAATGCTGACCAACCACGCAGGTGGCTTTGGGTTTCATCTCCCACCGACGCATCTCCTTACCTCGATAAACTACTAATGAGACTGGTTAATAGGGAAGATTGGGCATGCAGCTACCAACTCCATCCCGTAAAAATAAATACCTCTACTGCCGAAACTTCACAGTTCTAGTTCCACTGATAAGGTAATGTGGTGGAAAACCCCGCATTTTATGTGATAAAGATGGTGTTAGACGTGAAACTTCCAAAATACTGTATAATTAGCTTAAGAAATGACTCAGTTATTCTCCCATGTTTGTAATTTTACGGTGAAACTCACTATCCCCATTATCTTATAAGTTGTACCATTAATACTGTTATTACCGTTGGTATCATTTGCCATTTGTACATCATTCTGAGCCTACTTTTTCTGCTAGTGCTAAAAGTTGATGTTGTTATCAATTTCGTTTAAGTGTAATGTGTTTTTTCTGTTTCGTTGTTGGATAAATTAGATGCAATATTGTACAAAATTCTGAAAATTCCATACTCTAGCATAAACACCGTTTTGGAACAAAGCAAATTATTATTATTATTATATTCTAAATTGTCTTATATTTAATTGCAGAAATTATTTGAATACCACTACAAAACATACAGTGGCAGTTTATGATGCAGTTACGGAAACTGTTCACATGAAGTCAAGATATTTACTTCGACAAGACATGTTACATCATATCAAAGATGATATTGAACAATTACATGAATTGTGTAATCCTGTAAAATCAGTGGCAACAACAACATAAAGACATGAGAAACAAATCTTTATTAACTTTCGTGTGTTTGTTCAATGTTCAGTTTTTCACCTTTCAACAATCACAGTTTCATTAACTCACATGTAATTTTTTTGCAAAAACATTCGAATTTACTGATAAGTAAGGCATCTTTCATTTCTGTAACCGTTAATAATTACTTCGCTTAATTCAAGCCGCTGCTCCTGTTGCTTACAAATATATATATTGAGAATTTTTATGGTGTTATATCTAATTTCTGTATTCTTTCAAGCTTAATTAGTTTAAATAGTCATAATATTCATTTATAATAGTACTAAAACTACTTTTATACCTAAATTGTCAAAATATTCTCTATTGATGGATGTATTTTAATTTTTATGTGAACTTAATTAAATAAACTCTTATCTTTTCATAAGCATACATTAGGCTGCACAATCCAGAAAAGTCTGTGTACGACCATTTAAAAAGAAAACCAAAACATGGCCATGGTAGAGAATAGACACAATAGTTAAATGACCCTGAAACAACTAATCAGATCGTTGCCAAGCATGACAAAGGGATGCTTTTAACATAATCTTCGTTGCAGTAATCATTCTAGCTATAATTTTCTGTGCAAGACTTACTCTAAAGTTCATCATTCTAACCTCAATCATAACCCTATCTGGAAACTACCCAAAGCTTAAAACTAAATCGCGAAGAGACGTGCGACAAAGATTATGAAAAAGTATCCACTTATAATGCTGAGCAGCGATCCGATTGGTTGTTTCAAAGTAATCTAACTGCAATGTCTATTCCTGACTGTTGCGTAAAATGTTATTGTTGATTATAGCTTTCTTTACATATTGGGTGACCATTGTTGAATACATATGTTTAATTACAGCACTCTTCATTGATCTAATGTTGTTACCTTTTCGAAGCCAAATGGGATAATGCTCTATGACTCTTTTAGATAAAACACACATCAAACGATTTATATATCTCGCTCCACATGAGCAAGTGAATTGGTAGATATACGCAGAAGTGGTGAAATGCGACAGTTTGTCTTCGGAATTGTTGAAGAACAATGGGTGACATGAGAATACCGATTGTAATATGGTACCAGAAAGTTCTTTTCAGGGTGTTACATATTCTCTCTTCACAAATGTCCCGATTATGTTGACGACTTGTTTCTTGTGCAAGTGCTTGGGAGAAACCGAATAGCATATTCAAATACCGACACCCAAGTTAAGAGAGCTTCTACTTAAATGCACTTTGGACGTCCAATTCACATTCAATGGGACTATTTGTAGAGAGTATGATGGTGTGGCTACCGGTTCACATTTAGGACCGTTACTTACCGACATTTTCATCGTAATTTTGGAAAAAGGTCCATTGAAGTAGACTATCGAAGGAATTTTTTGCAGAGAAGGTATGTTGACGACACTTTTATCATTTGTGATAACATATATCACCTAAACAATATCCTTCAGGTTCTTAATAGCTGACACCTAGCCATCAAATTTACAACTTAAGTAGAAACCGGATACACAATCTCATTTCTGGATGTTTGACTAACAAAGAAGACTGACGGGACTTTAAACAGACCAGTATACAGAATGCCTTCGTGAAGCGATGAGTTGAAAATGTTTGTGTTCCTATTACTTTGCATTGTCGAAGTCTTAGCGATTCGAACTGAAAAAACTGATTATAGTTTTAACCAGAACTGAAACAGTTATTCGGTTGATAACGTCTACAAGTGAAATCCAGTACGTGCACTTTCAAAATAATGCAACCAATTCAATTTTCAAACAAGATTCCGGTGTCTGTTCTAGAAGCAGACATGTCGTCAGAGACAACGGGCGTTTCAGCTGACTGACTGACTGGTTTCAACATAGAACTTTGCACCGATGTGCAGCAGTTCGAATCCCCACACTTCACTCAGCTAGAGAAAAAGAAAAAGAAGAAAGTAGAAAGAAACACTAAGTAGAAACAGTAAACGGAGATATAAGGCAAAAAGAATAGTAATCTAGAAGAACAATATGGTTTTATTGGAAATTATCAGTGGATCCATCTGCGCTAGGCATTGAGAATGATTTTGAGCCAAATCACCAATTGTCTCCAGTCAATGGTGTTTGCCGTCCAGAGGAGCCCAACTAGGAAGCCAGTCCACACCTTACTACGTGACTTAAACTAACTGTTGTGGATTTTATTGACTGATAAAGCTATGTTTTGGTTTGATCACCACTGGCTCTTTCCTAACCTCACCCTACATCAGCTAACATTGCCTATTGTCGAGGAAGGGAATGACTAGGCATGCGAAACATATGTCCTAACCATCTAAATCGATGTAACTTCACAGCCTCGTCTATTGATTTCCCCTCCTTACCTAACACTCGACTGATGCCTAACCTCAATATTGCTCACCCTATTATACCACTTCATATGGGAGATAGAACTCAGGCGTCTACGATCAAAGACAGCTAGTCTTTTATGTCTTCCACTCTCAATGGCTAGGTCTCACAGCTGTATAGGAGGACGGAGCGGATTGCTAGTCGATAACCAGTTATCACATCTACGCCAGAGACGGCGTAAACTGGCATATGCGAAACGAGCCGTCTGTATTCTTACAGAGATTTTGTCAGTGATCAACCCTTTGGGATTGGCTGAAACAACTTCCCAAATAAGTGAAGTGGTCAACACACTCTACCACTTCACTCCCTATCTCCAAGCTAGGAGTCAATGTAGTCCAGTCCTGTAGCATCATCTTACATTTGGTGAGAGCAAATCGCATTCCAAACATTCGTAGATTGCAGCTCAAGGTGTTCAGAAGACTCTGCATTTTGTCAGCGTCTTTACCTAGGAGGGAGGACTATATCATCTGCATATTCGAAGTTAACGAGATTATTCCCTGGTCGTTAAAAGACAATCCCTGAGTCGCTGAAGTCACTTAGGTTTAAGTCCATTAGTACATTTATGATGAAATTGAATAAACTATAACCAACAGAAAACAAAATCATCATCCCACGGGAACCCAAGCTTAAAGTAATATATAAAAATTGCATTCATTTCAAACGCCTCGCTGAGATCACCTGACCTATAGAATTGTCATATTGAAGTAAATATTCGTGTAGTATAATTGTTTTAATTTTTCTTTATTTCTCTTAGCTTCTTTCGGTGTTCTTTGGACAGCTTATTACACAAGCTGGATTTTTCTGTCCACGTAATCGAGGCAGAAATTTAAAATAGTTAGTTTGAAGTGGTTTGCATTTTGTTGCTTGAGACTGGTAGCAGATCATTCATCTAACTAATTAGGTCCTCTGGAGCTCATTCAAAGCGTTCACTTTTCACGTTGCTACACAAAACTTACTTCCAAGTGACATGATTCGCACTTTTCAGTTGGTGGCAATATTGAGTGATTTGAAGCAATTAGTTCCCTTTATGAATTCCGATAAAACAGTAAGAATTTGTAGTTTATCTGAAAGTTGTAATGTAGTGTATTTGCGCAACACATTTCAGACATTCATATCACACCCACGAGTACTTTTCACAGACATTCATAATGAAGGCGAGTGGTGGAATGACTTATAATGATACAGGTTAAGGTGAAAAATAAGGGATGGGAATTTCATGTTAGGCTGTGTTTTCTCATACTTTGTCTTTTGTTTCCTACCCTTATTTTTCGCAGACAAACAGGTCAAATAGGCGTTACTGTTTATCAGAATTACGAGATGTAGTATGCAGTAGATAGTATTAGGAGGCTCACTATGCAGCTACTTATTAGGCAATGCATTTTGAAAAAATCGATTATTTATAATTTTTGTATGGGTTAACTACTATCCTATAAGGCGGCCTGCTTAAATCATTGGGCTACCGAAATTACTTTCCTCCAAAATGCTTAATTTCATCTAGATTTATCATTGTTTTAATCGTCCAGTTATATCAAATGACCTATACATAAACTTGCGCGATGATATAACTTGATCCCAAGTAAACGCTGTACAATTCTACAACGAAATGAAGATATACATCAGATTAATAATTTACATGTGAATCTTGCGTGAAGAAAAAAGTACTTTGGAGCTGAACACGCTGAAAATTTTTGTACCGTTTATTCGCATACTGTCTTAAATAAAGCTTTACCATTATTATTATCCTATGTTCTTCTAGTTATCCTTTTTTTGTTTTTAATTTGTACTACTTGCCTGTAGGAAGTAGTGTGTTTGTTATATTCGGCAATTCCGACTAATGCTTTCGAAGTTTAACTCACAATTTGATGGACAGTATGCATAGGCGGCCTGCTTAAAACATGGACTACTGAAACAAACCTCCCTCAATATATATGTATATATATATATATATTTATATAGCATATAATTTCTCATATTCAGTTTGTTTATAACGAGGAAAATTTAACCTCTAATAGTGTTAGTTATTTAATACATTCACAACCCAATGATTCACAAGTTTCCATGAGATATGACAAAAAGCATTATCCTCAATGGTAACTTATCCCAATGCATGAGATGATAGTTCCTCAGTGGTGTCCTTGGTCCGCAAAAGGTACTACTGAACTCTTTATCTAATTGGCATTCAACAGAATATCGTCATGTATTTCTCGAAGGAGATCGAAAAGAGATATCATAATGATGGATTGGTTTTCGTTAGAAGTGTGTCACACGATCTACTGTCAGTCGATTATTATTTTTACATTTGAATATCGCGGCTGAAGAGGAAATATCATGTAATAAATTCTGGTGAAAATTCTGTACACTAACTATATTAGAAATGTTCCGATTAAAGATATCAGTATTAAAAATATTTAAAAATTATAATTTCTTACAGTCGAACATTAGCTACTGCGTACGCTTGATTTATTTACCTATTGCTGTTGAACATTGTTTAACCGTACCTTTTTATTTAATGCCTAGTATTTGTGGGCTGTTTAAATAACTCATGGTCATCTTTGATACACCAGTGCTGTTATTTTTCATTGACACACATTGACTGTCCTTTTTGATTGTATTCAGCCACAGGCGGCTCACACTTGAAGTATATATATCGCACTTCATTAGTTTAGTTATTTAGTACCGCATTTTAGACAAATCCTGTTTTTGGATTTTACGCTTCACTCAACGTGTGGTTTCAATGATTGTTTGGATTATCGTCTCGAAATTATTTTGGGAGAAATTCGCTATATATAATTTATTTCGATGAAATGTGTATTTAGTCCTTTGTTTGTGTGGTGGTAGTTGAATTCTACCAGTAAGGTTTGCAATGTGGCCATCAACAGGTTAGGTGGCTCGCCATCACAATGCACTGCTCTGCGAATTGTTGCAATTATTAGATATTTTGGGGACAGTCGGCAGGACAGGAAGCCCTGCCCTAGACCTAGGTTTCTCACTTTTATTGTCACTAACCATTCTTCAGAAAGGCGTATCTGCAGTTTGGGAGGAAGGACTCATGTCCATCCTGAAGCTCGAACCCTCGTCGCTTTCTGAGTGAGTGATGCAGTCAGATACATCTCCAATGAACTATGCGGTGTCTTGACTCACTCTTTTTGGATACTTATTTGACAGTGGATAGTAATAATAAGATAATAGAAATCTAAGCATTTATATATTTTAATAAATTCAAGATGATTTTAAGTTTTAGTAAAATGAAAGGGCTTTCTAAGTTTTATTATTATCGTTACTATTATTATTATTATTATTGTTCTCTTGGGTTCCGAGTGGAACAAACGGCTTCAAAAGCATATCTCCAATTGACTGTATTTTCTGCTAACCTCTTTGGCTAGCCATACGATTTCCCATAGTCTCTTATCTTCTCCAACTCAGACAATCTCTTCCAGACGATCCACTCAATGTCATTCGCCAGTCTTCTCAGCTTGTGCCCAATCCATCCTCATTTTCTCTCGAATATTTGTTGAGTGATCAGTTCTGGGTTAGTTGGTGTAGCATAGTTTCGTGTTGCTTATTCTTTCTGGCCAGCCAGCTATTTCATCTTTAATGTAGAGCCAGTCAGCGAGGTAAGCATTTGTTGATATAAGTCTGCAGTGGCCTATTGGAAATGCTTTTCGTGACATGGACGCCATCTGTATGCATGTATTGATTTTTGTTTAAAAATAAACTCTCTGAATAAGTATTTTAATACTGTTTCTGTACATGAACTGAATAATAAATATGTTTAGGCTGTAAGCAGGTAATGATGAGAAGCCAAAGAAATAAACGTTGATGGTAACAGTTTATTCGGTACAAACCGCCACTGTTGTTCTTGCTGTATATTCAAATTCACATGTGTTTCTCCATTTCTATTTTTTTTTCTTATCGAATTATTGTCTCCTCTGTTTGATAATGTATATGATATTGAATCCCGGCTAAGTTAAACTTTAAGCATCAATAAATACCAAAGTACAAATGATCTTGAATACACCAACCAAATGATGAAGGCAATTTTCGTGCATAAAATACGTATATTCATGAAAATTAGTTAAAAAGCATGAAAATGTTGCATAGCATACCTTTCTCTGAGGTGTGACAAGAATACCTCTCAATTTTGGATTGAAGAATCAGAAGAGTAATTTGACCATATTCTATGCATGCAGTTATCTACGTCTTCTAACCCTAACAATAACCCTAATCTCTCCTTAACCTAACCCTAAGCTGTCCTTAGCCTAAACCGCAACTTAATCCTTCCCAAACTTAACCTGAAACTCACCAGATATCTCATTTAACAGCATAACACTTCATTAATCATATTTTATTCATGGTGATAGCATTATTTGTCAGAGATCACTAACTTGCTCATTGAGTGTTTCAAGGCCACTGGTGAGATCGCGGTCCATTGGTATTTACTGGTGCCTAAAGTTTAACTTGGCCTGAATCCCCTTTTATATACGCCTTATTTCTCTGGAATACTACGTTAAGGTTACATTACTGTTGTTCTCACCTCCATCATACATATGACCTTGGAACCATATTGGTCGCTGTTTGTTTTAACTCATGAATATTGTAATCATTTAAAGCATACATATATGTATACGCAATTGCTGTCAACCCTTTTTCGCTATCGATTCGAGATATTAAAAGGCTCTCTACGCCAGCAGTCTGTCTTCTTGTTTTCATGACTTCTTGTGTCGTGGGTTCTGTGGTATTGTATCGTGTCAGTGTTGTTGTTGTTGTAGGAAAGTAGGCTCTCGAATCGACTAGATAGAGGAAGTCCGTAAGCGCAAACTACCAAGTGCATTCACAATGTTATCACTGCTCTTTTCATGCTTGTTATGAGTGTAAGAGGGATATATTCGGTTCATTAATCAAATACTCACCCTTAGGCATTTGGGAAAACTATGCTACTAATAGAAGAAGAAATGAGAAATTTTATATTCACAGAATAAAAATTATCTCTACTCGTTAATAAATAACAAAATACTGATAATGTTAAAGATAACCAAAAAATATAAATAAAAGAAGGCAAGCTTAGTTTTTATAACCAAAAAGTACGACTCATAATACGGCATCAAATAAAGTGATATCATGTAGACACAAAAAATAAAAAAGCTGAATTGATAAATGAAAACCACCTCATTTGATAGCTTTTTTTTCCTGTCTGTATATTATCAACGTCCAAAAACAATGTGACTCATTATATTATATACTATTATTATATATTATATATTATTATATTCTCAACATCATCTTTGCACTATAACCTTCTACTGTCTTCACCAGTTCTGTGGAATGATCTGCCTTTCATACTACTACTACTACTACCACCACCACCACCACGACCAAGCTTTGTTTCAAATAATTTTAACCCATGTGGATTTTTTTTCATCTGGCATCTTTGACTTTTCATCATATAACGCAGTTCATTTTCAATCGTGCCTTCTTCACCGTCAGTACAATTTTCTCGTCTACCTTTTGTATGATAATGTTTGTCGCCTTCATCATCCCCGTCATCATCGTTATTATTGATGCTGTCGCGGCGATTATCATCATCAATATATCTGAATAGACCTCCTTTAGTCGGTGTATATTGGGTTTTGACATCCGTTGACACCTCCATAGATGTAAGACTAGTATCGATGCATTTCAATGCCGGTCGCGACGATGAAGACGTCGATAATGGTGATTTCTGTGCTGTTTGGGTCAGCTTCTCCGTGTTTTTATGAAATTCTCCAAACTCAGTAATATTATTTACTTTTTCTAGAATATCTTCAACAGTATTTTCGAGGGTATTTAAGTTTTCCTCTTGGCGAGGCTGAGAATCAGTGAGCATAATTTTGGACTGTATTGTATCAGGAATGATGTTTACATGCTGTCTATTCTGCTTCTTTGTTTTAAATGCATGGGATAAATAGTGGAGCAACTTTGTCATTACTTGATTTTTGTTTCTTTTTCTGATTTTGCACAGATAAACGGGTCAAACAGGGCGTTACTGTTTATCAGAATTACGGGATGTAGTATGTAGTAGATAGTATTAGGAGGTTTACTATACAAATACTAGTCAGGCAATGCATTTTGAAATAAATCGATTATTTATAACCTTGATATACAAATATATATTTGCTAAATGGCTGATAAATCTGCTTGAGCTACTACAACGGTTAACAACATGAAATACATATGAACTTAGTAGACAAAAATTTGTTATCGTTGGATGTAACGTCACTAATTATCAGTCTTTCCCCGGGTGAAACAGTGGATTATCTATGCCAACGAGCTGTAGACAAAAAGCCGATAATGGGATTACACATATGAAACTGAAAGAATTTTTCCTAAAATGTACTATGAATGCTCACTTTGTATTTGACACGACGTTTTACTGTCGAATAGATGAGGTTGCTATGGTTCCTTCCCCTAGGTCACTTATAAGCTGCCATTTTCCTAATTGAATCAGAAAACAGTCTTCAAAGAGTGATCTTTAAAAAAAACTTGAAAAACGATGTAGTTCCACGAGATAGCCTTAATTCCAATCAGTGAGAATCTCTCCTTCCTTCCAAACGTTTTGCTGTAGTGGCGTCAGCATTTCTACTGTGGTCTCTGCGTCCATCTCCAGTGCTTCAGGGGAATTCCGTCTGGTTGTGCTGCCCTCTCACCTCCCTTTCAGTACCTTGATTGCTTACATTCAAGATTTCTGCTTTCGTTGGAGGATGGGTGTCAACTGGAAGGCAGTTGTGTGACTTCTCTTCGTGGTGGTGTATTTCTCGACCAGTTGGAGGTGGTGGTCGATTCAAGAGTCCCTTGAAGCTATCTTACCGTTGTTTTATTTCTCTTTGTTTCTCCCCTTTAAGTATTCAGGTTCCCTTGACCATCTTTCATCTATGTTGATCTATTGCCTGATAGAACCCTCGTTATCGGACACAATGTTCTGAGGTTTGTTTCACCTGTGGACTGCCTGTTCTGCTTCACGTCACAGTGTGTCATGGAACTGTATTTTGTCTTTGCCAACACTCTCACTCAATCATTTCTTTCTTTCTCCCTTTCTTTATTCAGTGAGATGTACACTGAACTCAGCTGCTTCTCCTTATCTTGTCCATCTTTGCATTGGTTCATCTTCTCCTTCACTATCCTCCTCTCCTTGATTAGCTTCCAGGTGTCAGTTGAGAGCCATTCTTTGACTTGTCTCTTCTTTCTTCCAAAGACGGTTGTACGTGATTCCTCGAAAATGATATTCAGAGAGTTCTAATGTTCTTCCACATAGGTTTCCGAAGTGATGCCATATAATGTCGCTGTCTTTGCTCAGACAGCTTGTGGTGATTGACAATTTCTATCTCTGCTTAAATACTTACTGTTGCTTTTTAATATGTTTCTTATATGAATTGATATATAATTCCGCCAAATACAAATTCTTAAATTCATCCCTCTCTGTGTTTTTGGTTGAATTCTTGTAATTCGGTCATCTCAAAATACTAATACTACTATTACAAATAATTACAACACAGTTACAGTGAGGGTATGCTTTGTAATTAGAGTTCATGAAGCTTTATTCCGATGACATCAGAAGTTAAGAATTTTAATCAAATCTACTTCGCTTATAAAACGATAAATATTAACCAAAGCTTTAAAACGAGCTAATTTCACACTGTTGTTATTGTTGTTGTTGTTTTCAATTCACATAAATTGTTAAAAACAAAAATTTTAAAATACACTTTTTAGAACTATTCGACTTCCATGGATTGCATACTTTGTAACCACCCACAAAATAAAATAAACATGGAATGTGACATGATTTTTGTTTAAAAGTGAAATACACATAAAAAGGTAGTTGTTTCAAAATTGTTTAGGAAAAAAAATAATATGCATGTAACAATAGCAAAACATGAGACTCCGTTCGAAGCAGAAAAAATGCTGTACAATGTCTAGTATAATAATGACATAACTAACATGTTTACTTAGTGTTCAGGTATTTTTACATTTCGTCTAGAGTGTAAGACTTGCCACTATCTTTTTTAGGCTTATAAACTGGTAATTTTTGTATCTTAAACAGTTTCAGTCAGTTAGCCGAGGCAAGTGAAGTTTTATGCGTCGCTGGTTCAGCGATGGAATGTTCGCCAAACCGTGTTAGCTGTCCGAGTTTGATTCGCAGCTGACGCACACCTAAGTCTCAACCAGTCGGTAAGGAACACGGAGAAGAGGGAATATTATGGGGGGGGAGGCTAGAGATCCAATCCTCTGCAGGGGCTACACCAACGCTACTGAAACTTCAAGACCTCAAGAATGAAGCATCATATTCAACTAGGAATGCAAGAAATAGGGCCAAAGTCTCGGTTGATGAAAAAATATTAGATCTTTATTTATGTCTAAAACCCCACCGTATTCAAATTTCATAATAAAATACACATACCAACGAACGAGTTGGTATTGGGATCACCAATATCCCTAGTAGTAGCAGACATGCTTTTGGAAATATGGTAAGATATCTTATGTAGATTATGGTGGAGACATGTAAATGACACATTCGCTGTGTTGAAATCTGAACATATCGCTCACTTTCTCACAAATATATACACGTAATAGTGGACAGAATCCAATTTACTTCTGAGTCGGAAAGTGAACAAGGCGAGTTGGCCACGATAAATTGTAGCATAAAATGAAAACAATATGGTGGATTAGATACTAGCGTTTGTAGAAAACCAATACACTCTAATAAATACTTTGACTTAAAATTGATAAAGGTCAAGTGCGTATATAATGGCATCAGGAGGCCTCCTACCTGGTAAGTCAGAAGATTTAAATAATGAAATCAAACAGATCAGGAAAATATTACTGATGAATAACTACTCACCAGAATTTATTCAAAAATGCATGAGAGACCGTAGGAAAATGAGATTAGTAATGAAAATGATAAAAATAACGAAGAAAATAATATAGAATTCGAAGCCTGTGTAGTAGTACTACCGCATAAAGAAGTAAGGAACATCAGAGACCCTACGTATAATTCTAAATGACTCTGGGATTGGGTTGGTGGTCATTTCAGCCAACCAATCAAGAAACTCTCTCAGAGATAAACTTTGTCGGCCTGAGGATATGCCCGATTGATCCAATTAAGAATATTTTTATTTATCAAATACTATGTAATGGCTGTGAGGTCAGTTACATAGGCCAGTCAAACTGGTAGATCTGTGTCAGTTAGATTATCGGAACAAAGAAATATAACTGGATCTAGAATGATTAAGGCCACTCAATGTCAAATAATCCTGAGGAAAGTTCACGCGTTGTAATGCACTCACATGCATCTAATCTTACAAAATAGGTTGGGTGGGACAGGGTGAGAGCAGTTAAAGGTAATATGGTTAGGTGGAGACAGTGACATTGAGGTTAATCACTGAATCTTTTGTTCATGGATTCAACACCTCACATATGCAGTTAATGGAAATGACGCAACGTTTATTCACCGGAAATTTGGAAGGTGACGACAAAGAAGAGGGAGAAGAGAAGAAATGTGTTAAGTAAAATAATGTTTGAGACCTTATTATCCAGTTCCTGATACTTCATAACTGTGTGATAAATTAAATACACTTATCTAATATGAAATTATATTCCACCACAATGCCGAAGTTCTACACTTAAATTAATATGAGACCATTAGACGGATATACCGCTTCAGGCTTTGAAGTCATAGTTCGTTTTTTCAAAGCCATATTGGATGTAGAGTGTGAAGTTGTCGCAGAAATCCGCTTGGAGTTATTTGTTAGAGACAGTAGCTGGTTGACTCGACCAAAGTTTGTTCACGGTGGAGCAGTTCTTGTTATTTCGCTCATTCTTCATTATTGTGCATTATCTGGCTTCTCTCACAGATCTTCATTCCCATTGATTTCACTAGATTTCTTCCCTTTATTTTTGTATCACTTCTGTGAAGCAGCTCCGTTACATACACCTAATATTTCTAAAATACTACATCTGTAACAACAGAAGACAAGGGCCAGGCAACAGATCGTTTTATTACGAAAACCAACACGTATTTATATAAATTTCAGATACATTATTACAGCCTAGTCAAGTAGACAAACGCAGTCTTCTGATTGGCTGTTTTCGAGTTCCTCGGAAAGTGGAGCCATATATCTGCGAATCATATTTGCCCACGTTTAAGTTTTCTGTGATTGGTTATTGGAACAGCCTTGTTCATATTTTCTCAAGGCCCATATTAGTGACCTAGACATTGACGTAGATTAATGTCAACCAATTGGCTAGCAGGCTGCTCTCACCACACATCTATCCGTTTGTATTTCTCCCCATTTGTAGCCTTGGTACCTTATTGGTTGTTAATTGTTTTGACTTACTTGTGTCATTAGTGTCTCCCAAGACCATTTAAAGCATATATTTACTCATTTGCTGTTAACCCTTTTTGGCTATTGATTCGAGACTGTAAAAGGCTGTCTACGCCAACGGTCTGTCTTCTTGTTAAGTTGTTGCTATAATTTTGCCTCATTTTGTTGTGTAAGTTAACTAATATTATTATTCTCATCATCCTTATTTTATTACCACTCTATTGTTGTTTACTAATAATATTGCATTTCCCTACAGATTTTATATAAAAAAACCTTCTTCGTCTTTCCACTAGTTTTCTTCCACCATACACAATTATTTTGATTGGTCATTTTCTCATACTTACCGCGTCATCTCAACTTTTGCCTTCCCCCTGCTTTTTCTAATTTCCAATTAATCATTCCTTACTAGTTCACATCTCACACAGTACGCAATATGTTTTCTGGGACAAATTTTATCAGTATCTGATTAATCGTCTTATAAATTCCTTTATTTAGTGTAATTACGACTAAATGAATTGTCGAAAACATCTTTTTCTTATGACTTAATATCCGAAATCATCTGTCCGATTCAAATTTTAATCGAAATGTTCTGTTTACAGGGAATTATTTTTTGGTTAACGGCTGTCAGTGGGACACCGAACAAGTTTAGTGTATATATTGATCAATACAAAACGGAAATGGTACGAAGTTGTAGTCTTATTCTGTTTCATATCATGCGTCGTTGGCACAACGGTTAGGACT